TGTCCTGGCATCAATTTCTGGCCGTTCGCTAACACTACCCTCCCCCGCCCCCTCCTCCTCCCCCTGGAGATGGGCCGGCCCTCTCCATGCCTCAGCTGCCTACCCCTCTGACCCCTCCCCCTGGGGTCAGCCAAGCCACAGCCTTCATCTCCTCCTGTATCGACTTCCCGCCACCCATGCGGGACAAGGGCACAACTCCTCCTCCACCACCGCCAAGAATCTCATCTGCTACGAATGGAGATCTCCTCCCCCCTCCCCCACCATGTATGACCAACTCCCAGGCAGATCTCTCATCTCTCCCCAATGGCGACTCACTCCCTCCCCCACCGGAGGAAACGGTGGTGGAAGGCGAGAACCCGTACGCAGAACTCAAAGAAGTCCACAAAGCTATTCACGAGTCTCTGGTCAATGGTGGGTTCGAGTCTCCAGCCCCCACCCCGCCGGCAGTGCCCCCTATCCGTCGGCCGGGTCCCCCATCAGTGCCAAACACCCCGCGGTCTAGCATGGCCTTGAACTTCAGCATATCAGCTCAGCATTACGATTCAGAAGTGGCTCAGCTCTCCCCGGTCACCCACGAGAAACTCAGCAGTCTCATGAATCGTGCCTCGAGGGAAATGAACTCGCACTCGGAGCCGTCGCCTGCCCGGGACTTGGAAGAAAGTATACCAGAGCCGGATGCACTCTATGACATTTTGGAGTATGCCGAGAAATACTTTAATGACCATGAGAGGGATGCCGGATCAACCATCATCAAGAGTTTGAAGAAAAAGAATAAGCAGCCATCTTTGTCGGTAAGTGGGAGATTCATGCCTTTTGGAATATATCAGATCTCCACTGAGTGTAAGGCTATACCAAGGACTATGTGTGATGCAGTCCTATGTACCCATGATATTTTTTATCTCCTCTTTTTTGTAGCTACTTTTGTTTCTTTATCTATTGTTTTTTCTTCTGGTCAGTGTGATGATTTTATTGTTTTTATCTCCTTGATGGCTACTACTTAAGTGCTGCGTGTGGATGCCTGTGAAATGTTTTGGGTGTCCTCTTTTCCTACAACTTTTCCTTCTTCTTAGTGATCGTCTTCCGTTTCCTCCTCCTTCTCCTCATCCATTTCCTCCTTCGTATCCTCATCCATTGCAACTGTCTTTTTACTCCTCCTTCTATCTTTCCTCAAGTTGTGCGAAAGGTTGATAGTAAGTACTGCAGCTGTAGTGTACACTCTCTGATGATGATATTTTTATCTTTGTACCTCATAATGGATACAGTCGAAATTATGCAAGATGGCCAGCCATTTTTTAGGAGAAAAGTAGTTGTGTTAGACAGGTAGACATCATGGACCATGTCCTTATGATTTTTAAAAAAAATGCAAGTTGAATGTGATAATTTGTGCAGAGGTGATTGTCTTGGACAGGTGGCTGTTACAGCAGGTTCAACAGTTTTTAAAATATTTTTTGGTAGTAGTGTTACATCAGTCAATATTGTGCCTGCCTGAGGTAATATCAACTGGTTATTAGAATTTCCTTCGGTCTCATCTCAGTTTGATTACTTCTTTTAAAGATGGATGTGAAGTTTTAGACATCTCCTCCTAAATAAATGTACTATTCATACTTTGACATGCAAATATAGTTTCAATTTTTCTTTGTTTCAGGATTGCTTGACAAAGGCGGAGATGCTCAAATACAGCAAAAGTGGCCTTATCCCAACTTCCCATATCCATCTGCATGACTCGGAGAACATTCATCTGGCTTGTCTCATATTCAAGGTCAGTCATGTACAGAAGTTCTAATTGTGTAGCTTTTTGTATTAATTTTCTTTTGTCATTATCTTGACTGGTTAAAATTTTTGTTAGGGTAGTGATGGTGTTATACGAAATTCTTGGGCTTTTCATGTGTGTAGTAAACATTATATGAATAGACATACTTTGTGAGACCTAAGAATTTTTTCATGGGTTTCTGTAAGAGGGAGAAAATAAAGTACAACACATTATATTTTTTAAAAAGATGTTTTTTTATACTTTGCTGGAAGAAGTGATTTAATTAATAAATCTTGGGATATAGCTTAGTTTAAATTGATTTAAATCTTAAGCTGTAGTTTGTTTTATTTTCATTGCATTCTTAAAAATTCATTAATCTGTATTCTTCTTTGCATTAAAAAAAAAATGTATTTGGCTGACAGCTTTTGTCAGTTATTGTTATGAAAATTCATTCATACTTATTGAAAACATGAATGTTTTTTAGATTATTGTATTTTTCTAACAAGAAAGTACTGCTTTGCTTATGCCAAATGTTTTATTTTATATTTTAATTTTTTTTTTGGTGTAGATTTCATTCAGTTAATCATGTGAAGTAAAAAAAATTTTGTTTTGTTTTCTGATAAAAATTTGTAAGATTCACTTCCAGTTTATCTGTAAAGAGAGAACAGAATAGCCCAAATTCTCTGTATGATCTACTAATACTCCTCTCACCCCACCCGTGTCCCTTGACAGGAAGTGACCAAGTACATGCGGGACGAGGTCAAGGACGATGCGGCCATCTCCCTGGTCCAGTGGCTGGTCAAGTCTGGCATTGACAGAATCGAGCTCCGTGATGAGATACTGATACAGCTCCTGCGTCAGACCAACGAGAACCCAGACTCGAGTGCCTTAGCCAACGCCTGGTCACTCTTGTGCCTCTGCACCGCAGCCTTCTCCCCCAGCAAGCACTTGCACAAGGTACGGATCACGCTTTTGTGTATTGTTTTTTCCCCCGCTATCTTTCGTATACTGAGTATTGTTTTCTTTAACAGTACTTAGAGAGCTTGCATGTAACGAATGGGTCAGTCTTATTTCAAAACGCAAAAACACCATTGTAATCTTTTAAAATCTCCATCTCTGTGTATGCTGAGTTTTTTCTTTTTCTTTACCCTTTGACATGACCACTTCTTTAACTAAACAGCTAGAGAATTTCTCATGGTAAAATAAATGTCTTATCTGTCACGATAAGAGGCCCTACTCTTAATTATGTGATCTAAATAGTGTTGATGGGGGGCATACAACTCTACAATTAAGACTAGAAAACTTTGTCTTTACCTTGATCTTAACCCTGTGTACTAACAATGAGTTTTTTTCTTTTTTATGTCCCATGTCCCTTGTTTGGGTGCCATGTTAGTTATCTTATTTATATAGGACAATCATTAACTACGAGAGTATGAGTGAGTAGGTACAACGATATGTCAACATTTAAAAGGAGCAATAGAGGAATCTGAATAACCATAACCATGATTAGATCTATTTGTTATCGTTTGACTTATATTAAGTTTGCTTCCCTCCCCTGTCCACAGTACCTCGTGTCCTACGTCAAGCGCTGCTGCTCTGACCCAGTGGGTGGGCGACACGCCATGATGTGCTACAAGCAGCTGACTGTTGCTCGTGCCACCGCCCGCCGCTTCCCTCCATCCACCATCGAGATTTTGGTAGGGGAATGCTCATCTTTTAGGCAAAATATTTATTAATCAAAGACCACCTACCATCTTCAGCTTCCTTAATGGCGGTAGAGGACGAACAGCTATGACAATTTTGGTCAAAGTGAAGGGAAAAGGTCTGACATCTGTGGGAGTGGTTTAAGGGAGAAGAAGAAGAAAAAACCCAAAGAAGATGAAGAAATGAAAGACGCTCTGCCAAAATGAGCTGTTTTGGCCTCCTAATAACCATTCAGTTTATTAGTGGGTCACCATGGCAACAACAGCGGCTACAACCACAACAACAAAGATATAAAGATGTAACCGAAGGAATACCTTGTTGAAATGAGATTTCTATTTCAAGAGGGGCTTACTTTTCTGAGAATAAAAATCATTTTTGCCTTCTCCTACTGATTTTAACATGCAGTTGATAGACAGCTGAATCTCCTTTTTAAGGTTATGAGGTCAATACAATTTGCTCTAAAATCTCATATTTGTAAGTGAGTTTTTTTCTAGATTGTTTACAAAAATCATGGGGCAAAGATTACAGATATCCGAGCTAGTCTTTGAGATTGTAGAAGAGAAATACTCTACTTCCTTCCTGCTTTTTTGTTAGTATCTTATCAGAACAAATGTCTTGCTTAAGTTTGATGTACTTCTCTGTACTCCTTAGGCGGTGCAAAGTCTGAACCCAATCGTGAGCAAAGTGTACTTCATGGACATGAAGACGAAGGCCGTGAGCCTTTACCCTATGGACACCACACAGGAGCTGCTCTCTAAGGTGGCCCGCAAGATTGGCCTACAGTCTGTCGAAGGATGGGCCATCTATGAGGTAAATAGTACCATCAGCCTCCATTTGGAGAAAGACAGATAAATACAAATTTTTTAGTTTACAACTGTCTGTACAGTGCGAGCAGTATGATTTTGAGGTCATATGATTATCAGATAATGCTCAACAGAGACATGGTGTTCATTTTTCTAAAAGGAAGATATGAAAAAGTCTTATGATTCAGAAGATTAATCATCTTTAGATAATACACAAAACAAACATGCTATTATTTTTTTCTAAATGGAAGGTATGAAAAGTCTTATAATTTAAAAGGTATGTCCTTTTTAGATTTTGCACAATACAAACATACTATTCTTTTTTTCTAAATGAAAGATATGAAAAGTCTTATAATTTTGAAAATAAGACATCTTTAGATAGTACACAATACAAACGTTTCTTTTTATTATAAGAAGATTTTAGAAGTCTTATCACAGTTTGTGGAATTGTTTGAAGTATGTTGTAGCAACAGAAACAATGTACATTATGGTGATAACGTTCCTTTTTAAATAAATGCCTGGTATATGTACCGGTGTTGTCTTCTGCCACTTCTTTTGTATTTTTACTACACTATTTATCTTGCCTTCTCTCCTCGTGAAATAATATGACGGTTATTGTGGCCATTTGGGGAGATTACTCGACCCTACTCTTCTTGTTTCTTTCAGACCTTTGACTTCAAAACTATGTGGCTCATAGGTGTCCAAAGTACATAAAAAGATATTTCTGTTTCAGTGAATTGAACAGTTTTTTGTAACTATTTTGTATAGTTTATTTTTGATACGCTGTGGACTTATCAAAGAACATGTTCTTATTCATTTCCAGGTAACTGAGGACCATGAGCGCTTCATTCGCAGCTACGAATATATAGCAGATATCCTGGCTCAGTGGGAGGGGTGAGCATCCATTTTAATGTTTGTTTGTTTGTGAGGATGTTTGATTATTTGTGTTGCTGGTTGTGTTCACTGTTTTGAATGTTTCATATTCTCTCATTTCACTCTGGAAAAAATGCTTTTTCCTCTCCCAAAGATTTATGTTGGTGGGAATTGAACGTGAGCTTAATGACACCCATCTATAGGTACATTTATTTCATATTTTACTGCTCTCTGTGTGTCGTGCATGCGTGCGTTCGTTCGTTAGTACGTGCATGCATGCGTGTGCGTAGGCACATGTGCATCTGTGAGGTCTTCAGTGTTAAAGTCAGGACAAGCAATTTACGTGTGATAATGTGCGAGAGAGAGAGGAGCAATCAGAACTAGCCTTTCTGTGTTCTACTTAATGCTCTTATTATTATCATCTTTGTTGTTATTGTTGTCATAGTTATACAGATTGTTATAGTATTACTTTTATGAATATTTTCTTTTCATAAGAAGAGCGCAGTTTTATTGAGCAAGTTATTGAAGCAAACATCTTGTAGATTTTGATTTCATTATCATAATAGATTCAGCTGAAGCATGAACATGGCCATTTCTCTCATCAGACAAAACCAGTTGTATGTGCAGCCCACCAAATATGAGACGGTGTCCAAGAAAGGTCCCAAGATGGCGCTGGGCGGTGAAGGAGCTCGTCTTGTGTTCCGGAAACGCGTGTACCGCCATGTGCATGATATCCCCAATGACCCGATAGAGTATCATTTGCTTTATGCTGAGGCTGCGCATAAGGTGGTTAAGGTATGTCCATTTTTTATTGTTCCAGTACTATGTCTGATGAAGACATTGGTAGTCTTTAACAGTTGTTCCTTGGTTAATAATAATGTACATTTTTAAAAATGTTTGTATGTATGTTTTGTATATCCAGGCATGTTTGTGCATTAGTTGTTAAATGATGCTTCATATGAACATTTTAAATTGGAAAAACTGCACTGCGATTTCTGCCAGTGCAGGATCAATAAAACATGTTATCTCTTAAGTTGTCTTGTCTTATCTGAGAAATTAAGAGAAGTTGACTTCTCTTTATCTGACATTCAACTTTTTTGGGGGGGGAGGGGGGGGGTAAGTATATTTTTTATTTGACAAAATCGGCTGTGTTCAAAGGTATAATAAACCTCTGTATACTAAGATTTTAGGAAGGAAGAACCTGGAAAGTTTAAAAAAAAAGAACTTTGGTTTGATTTGAACACTATCCTTTGTCATAGCATCGTCTCATGTTTCGTTTCTTTCATCATTGCATTATATCATTTTAGGTTTCCGTGATCATAGCATTGTATCATGATATTTTCTTCTTTGTATCCAGTGTGATGAGTACAGTGTGTCGGACAAAGTGGGACTGCAGCTGGCCGGTCTACAAGCTCAGGTGATCTGGGGCCAGTTCGAGCCCAGCAAAGAGTTCCGTTACAGCGAGGCGGACCAGTACCTGTGCAAGAGGATCCTCGCCTCCTCAGGCAAAAACTGGTCGCAGGAAGTGGCCAAAGCTCACATGGTCAGTACTTTATCATCATCATCTCTCACCCCCCCTCCCCCCGCTATCCTCCTCCTCCTTTTTCAATAGAGTATCTCCATCTATCTACTGGAATGTTGTGTCTCGCCCAGCCAGGCTGGATGGAAGCAGCCTTCCTTATAATCTAAATTGTGTAGAAATGGACATTAAACATTCATTATTATTATTATTATTATTATTATTATTTTTACTTTCATCATTCTTATTATCATCATTCTTATTATTCTCATTATTGATTATTAATATCATTGTTATTATTATCATCATCATCATCATCAACATCATCATCATTAATACTATTATCATCCATCAGCATTACGGAGCTGACAAAAGTGAGTTGGAGGCCAAGGTGTGGTACCTAACGTGCGTGAAGCAGTTCGCCCTCTACGGCTGCACACTGTTCCCCATCATGCACAAGGGCATGTGGTCGCATACCAGCGAGTCCCTTCTAGCCATCAACATGGACGGCGTCAAATTCGTACGCGCCAAGGACAAATACGTCATCCACGACTTCAAGTACCACGAGATCGAATCTATCATGATTGACCCTAACGACAACTACCTCACTCTGGAGCTGTTCAGCAAGGCGCAGTCGGGTTTGATGCAGAAGACGTTTGTGTTTGAGACGAGTCAGAAGGACGATATCGGCCATCTCATCGCCTCGTATTCGCCCGCTCACGCCACCTGGATGAAGTCGGACAATGAAGGCATGAAGAAGGTACCGTATAGTGTTGCTGGCCTTGATAAGTCCCTGTCAAATTGAGAATAATAAATGTTGAATAAAATACTTTAACTAATCGTTTCTATTCCACTCTTATTATCTCATTTTTAGCTTATTTATTAGGAGAAATATTTATCTTTTTTTGATACAAGTAAATAAGGAGAATAAAAATGATTATCTCAACTCATATTGCCTTTTCTATCTTTAATGATCTTATCTGAAATAAATCAGAAACTGTTCGCTACACTAGCAAATCCACCATAATTTTACAAGTACATGTCAACATATCGCTACCCTAGAATTACAAAGTTCTATCTGTTTCTTATAATTGTTATTCGAGTTTTCATGTCACCAAAGTCCTTGTTTCATCTTGCAGTTCTATGCAATGGCCCTTTTATTACAATTCAAGCATTGGAATAAGAGAACGAAATGCACTGTGGTGGAAAAGGACCTCAAAAGTTGGCAATGCATTAGTTTGTTTAGTGGATATTGACTGATTTAAGGAACTTTATGAACATAAGTTGTAAAATATCATAATTTCTTTGGGACCTATTTTTCTTAATTCCTGACACTGTTTTTGTGTTTTTCTGCGCAGATCAAGATGACAGATGACGACAAGCTGAAGCTGTATGAGGAGCTGGTGCGTTGTCGTAAGGCACTGTCGGAGAGCCGGCTGCTTCAGAGGCCTGCCAATGACTCGGCCACTGGATTCCTCCGCAATACCCTGAGGAGGTGAGTACATTCGTAAAGGAAACTCAGTCATACATGTGTACAGGGAAACTCAGACATACACATGTACAGAGAAACACAAACGTACACATGTACACACAGACACAGACATACACATATACAGAGAAACACAAACATAACCATGTACACAGTAAAGAGAGACACAAGCATACACATGTACACCAAGACACAAACATTCATATGTACAGAGAAGCACAAACATACACATGTACACATAGACACAAACATACACATGTACTGGGAAACAGACATACACATTAATGTACACTTAGACAAAGACACAAACATACCCATGTACAGGAAAACACAAGTATACACATGTACAAGGATACACAGACATACATATGTGCAGACTATAAATGTCTGTGGAGGGATCTAGTTGGGTAGTGAGACATTGGATTTGTTATTCAAAGTTTGTGGGTTTGATTCCCTGCTTTACCAGGAAAGACAATGTATCTTTTGGAAAGGAAATTTACCTTTTATTCCTCAAATCAAGTCAGCCTGCTGCAAAGAGATACCCATCTGTTGCGATGAAGTATGAGAATGATGTACGTTATTACCTAATAAGGTGCTACAGTGTAAGTCTCGAATGGATTGAGATGGTAAATTAGAATGAACAAACCTGCCAGGGTGTTTTGGTGATGGTGTGAAAGTCTTTCACAGGAGTATGCGCATGACAATACATAGTTACTCTTGACGTAAACTTCACTTATGTTTCTGCCCTTCACTCAGGGTAGGTGGTTAAAGGGTGCCACGAGTTGGTTCTACCCCTTTTCTTGCTCTCTTTTATTTCTGTCTGTCTTTCAATCATTTTAACTTGCAAAGTAAAACTAAGCCATGCTATAAACTGACATAAAAACAACCACCTTGTGTCCTGGGTATTCATAATGCCTTTATGCAGTTGTGAGCACTGTAAAACTTTTACCAAACTAAAACTAATGTCCTACTTTATCCCATGTCAAAATAACTCTTATTGTGTTGATGTGCTTCTCTTTATTACAAACTCAAACTAACAAAAAACCAAAACAAAAAACAAACCTCCCTCAGGCTCACCAAACCCAAGCTGGAGAAGCTGCGTAGTTGGAGCAGCAGTGACGCAGGCACCCAGTTCAGCGTGGACTACTGGTCCTACACCAAGACCGCCATCAAGCAGAGCCTGACGGTGATACATGACCCAAGCCTGGAGGAGGCGGCCGTCAAGATGTTTACCCAGATTCTCATCTACGCAGGGATTGAAGAACATGGTAAGGGGGGGAAGGGGGGATCAGACAAAAAAGGAAATTGACGAAACAAGGCAAATGGGGAAGAAAGAAGGGGTATGGGACTCTGGTTAGTTTCAAGAACACTTCTCAATAAAAAAAAATAATCTCCTTTATAGCATATTCAACACTGCCTTTGTCTTACATGCCTTTATCTTTTTACTTTAAAAATGCAACCAAAAGGACTGTTCAAATTTATTTTTTTTCAGTCATTTCTACCTTTCTTTTGTGACAATGTGTAAAATTTGAAATGTTAGTTGTAAACCTAGAAGAGCCTAATGAGTTTATGGCCAATTTGTAAGAGCACTCTGGCAGAAGAATGCAGTTAAAAGACTTGAGGCTTTTCAAAGAAAAGAGCAAAACATTCATAGTCCAATAAATATTTCTTGTTTAAACATTAGATGTAGTCTGAGTTGTAGCTGTTAAGTCACTGAGGATGTTCATTCTGGCTATTCGACAATGCTTAAAGATGTGCTATTTTTTAAGGTGCTTTGCAAAGAAACCAAAGCTTGTTATTCAGATTTTTCAATTCTGTTTTCTTTATGTGAAACTTAGAAAGGAAGGCAACAACATGCATACTATGAAATGTACAAATTCATTTTGTTTAATTTGTGTACGGCAGTTCAAAATTTGACACTATATTGCCACCAGTCTGCCTATTAGATATATGTGTCGGCTTCCTCCTTTAAGAGTTAAACCCTTTTACATTATCAGAAAAAGTTGGTTCTGGCAATTGTGCTGTTTACAGAGTTTTTGCGGCTCCCCAAATAAGACGTTAAAAATGAAGGTTTCACTTCTTCACAGACTTCTCCTTCTTCTTCCTCAAGTGCCAGACTTGAAACAGATGTCACTGATCATGATATGTTACTCATTTCTATGCTCTCTAAATACCTTTATTAATCTGGTCTTTTTCCATTATCCATCTGGTGGTTAAGGTGTTAAAGCTGGGTTTAAAAATCGTACTGTAATTTCCTTCACTACTCTATGATGACTGTCCTATCCCCAGCTGACCCCAGTGACCCCGAGCGAATCAGTCTGGTGCAGATGCTGATGCAGAAGTGTCTGGAGAGTGACTTCACGTGTAATGAGTTTTACCTGCAGCTGGTCAAACAGACCACTGATCATCCTGGTGAGACTCTGTCTGTGTGTCTGTCTGTGTGTCAGTGTGCTGTCTTTCTGTCTGTCTCTTTCCCTTGGCCCTTTCTCTCTCTTCTCTCTCTCTCTCTCTCTCTCTCTCTCTCTCTCTCTCTCTCTCTCTCTCTCTCTCTCTCTCTCTCTCTCTCTTCTCTCTCTCTTACTCTCTTTGTCCCTCCCTCCCTGTTTCTTTCCCCCCTCTACACCCCCCTCCCCTCTCTGTTTCTCTCTGTCCTTTTTTATGTTCAGCTTATTCAGCATTCTCCGTTTGTATGTTTTCTGTGAGTAACCTTCAGAAGCATTTGCAGTGGAACCCTTGATGGAAGTATGGTTTGAAACTTGATTCCTAAGATTATCAGAGTATCCATTAGAAACATAAGGGTTTCACTGTCAATCTTTTTGGTAATTGTTAAAAATGCATTTTGAAAAAAGATCTTTTGATATCAGCCTTTTCCTTTGTTCTTTAAGTGATTATTTTGCTTTAGTCTTTCTCTCTCTCTCTGTGTTCTCTTCAGTTTTTCTTTTTTCTCTCTGTATGTCAGTCTTGCTTTAATAGTGTGTTTTGTATGTTTAAGTGTCAGCATGATTATGTAGATGTGATATGTTTTAAATTTTTTTTAGGTCACTGTTTGCCACTACTCCCTATTTGTTAACAAACTGCGGTACACAACACTTCGGTCATGCTATAAACTCCTGACAATCAAACTGTCCAGGCTTATGATGTATTAATCAACTTTTAATTGGCGCATCTTGCTTCCAGATTCGACTAAGATCTGAACAAAAATAGTGACGGTGTCGGTTTATTGATGCAGCATTTTGTCTGGTCCCATAGTAATCAATACTTTTAGTAACAAGCCTGAGTGATTTGTACTCACAATGACAAGCAATTCTTTATTCATCAACATTTTACTTCACATCGTCGCTGGAGGATTTTAATCAGCTTGCTCCGAAAATGCTTTTTAGGGGGGGTCCCTTGAATTATGGCTGACATCACACAACACATCCTGTTAATAACTTTCAGTGACATTAACCTATCCAAATAGTCGCTACAATGTCGGATTCTAAACAGATAACGTGTGTATAAAAGCCTTGCTTTTTGTTGCTTTCCACTCTCCTGTAAAATTAATAGAAATCAAGATAGCGGTCCTACAGCGACTATATGAGGATGGCATTTTGTGCTAGTGCTTTCTCGAAAAGCCAGTTGCAGTTAGTGCGAAGAAAAAAAGAAAAATAAGCTGCCTAAAGTTGGACATGCTTTTTACATCTCTGTCACTGTCGTAAATTGTGTCTACCAGGGTGTCACAGTCTCAACTATTTTTGTTATAGTTTGTCAGTTACACGCTTTATTTGTCATCTATTTGCATGCGTTATAGTACAGTGTTGTGATTAGAACTCACATTCCTCCCATGAAAGAAACATCATATCACCAAGGACTGCAGCGTTTGATGTATCCCTGTTTACAATGTGTTTTTCATTGTTGTTAGACTCTATCGTTCGCCCTGACTGCTTACGTTGTGATTATGTTTCTGCATGGTTCATGCTCACAATGAACGTTGTTTGTTGGCCAGGACAGATAAAAAACACAACTGCAAGCCACGTAAGTGTTGTCTGCCCACTGTGCTTTTTTGGAAGCTTTTTTGTTTTTGTTTTTGTTTTGGCTTTAACACTCAAGTTACTTTTGAAATAATCCTGGTTTGCCTGGGCTTCTGTTTGTTTCCCTAACATCTATTTTTGTAGTATGTTTCTTCTTTCTGTAACATCTGTTTTCATAGTATATTTCTTCTGTCTGAAACATCTGTTTTCATAGCCTATTTCTTTTTATAACATCTGTTTGTTTTTTTTAGTTTATTTTTTTCTTTCTATAACATCTATTTATCTATTTTCATAGCATATTTCTTCTTTCCTTAACATCTATTTTCATACTCTTTTTCTTCTTTTTGTAACATCTATTTTCATACTCTTTTTCTTCTTTTTGTAACATCTATTTTCATAGTGTATTTCTTTGTTCTGTAACATCTATTTTCATAGTGTATTTCTTTTTTCTGTAGCATCTGTTTTCTTAGTTTTATTTCTTCTTTCTGTAACATCTATTTTCATAGTTTATTTCCTCATTCTTTAACAAATGTTGCCTTAGTTTATTTCTTTCTGTAACATCTATTTTCATACTTAATTTCTGCTTTCTGTAACATCTTCTTTCGTAGCATATTTCTCCTTTCTGTAACATCTACTTTCGTAGTATATTTCTTCTTTCTGTGAAATCTATTTTAATAGTTTGGAGTGGGAAAGAAAATTACTCTCTGAAAGGAGAGTACTCATATGAGTAGTTTCTATAGCTGCTTTGCTGAGTGCTGTATATACTAAGTCCATAACTGTGCAAACATTTGTTCCTGGTTGTGGCATCATATAAACTCCCAAGTTTGATGTGTTGTGAAATATTGTAAGTAATTATCCTTGTACAGACAGACTTGCAAGTGGGAGGTTGGCGGATGCTTCGGTGTGGTTTTCTCCTTCTTTTCATCAAACATCTATCATCCTTATCTCTACTTCTTCTCTTTAAATGTTACTCTTTAGTAACAATGACTCTAATCTTCAGCACTTGTGGGACCTTAGTGTGTTACAAGTGCCGTAAATTTTTTTACAAAAAAACCTAAAAAGTCATGCAATTTTTGCTGTGACATCACCGTGAGTCGTTTAGATCCTCTTGTATTAAAGAGCACCTCCCTGACTTACGTATGTCCTGTGGTTATATTTCAGAACTTAAAATGACAATGAAATTGCATTGTGTGTAGTTTCTGCTGTGGGATGAAGAGTGGTAATTTGGCAGTTAATTCTTTTAAAAATTGCTTTGTAGAGTTATGTGCTTTTAAAAATATATATACAACCTTTTTTGCTTTTGGGAATGGTATTTTTCTTTCATACGGCAGATTTGATATCAATCACTCTCCAGTATTATATCCCTTTTTTGTATTGGAAGTCAATCCATATTCATGCCTTTAAAATGTCTCAGTGGCTCTTGATTGATACAAAGTTTTTGTCAATCTGTTGTCCTGTTTTTCTCGTGTCATTACTTGATAGAATAGGGACACGTGCACTTCAATTCCTGGAAATTATTATATCTGAAAATTGCCAATGGGAATGTATGAATAAAAAGCTCAATGCTAGTGGTTTTGGTAGTCTACGATGTGGAAGTTTGAGCTTCGAATCTGTTTTGGATCTGAATTATTTTTGGTAGATCTATTCTGGAATAATTTTTTTTTCTCCATCTGATGGCCTGATGGAAAAAACATTTTCCTTCAAAATGACCCATATTGGGTTTGGTTTGACAATTAAGGGCAAATACAAGACCAGCAACAACTAATTATTTTATTGTTCTACAGTCTGGTTTGTTAAAACAATGGAAAAATAACAACTTTCCACTTCCCCCTGTGGGTGGTTGATAGGTGCTCTGGTGTGGTTTGCTTCTTCTTTCTTCTGAAACATCTATCGTCCTTATCTCCCCTTCTTCTTTTTTATGTTTGTTACTCTTTTGTAACACCTCTAATCTTCTCGTGCTCATATGACCTTATGCGAGTGCCGTACAACCTCTACTAAAAAACACTTCCCCTTTGCTGTTTTTATATGTAAAACTGACACTGTCCCAGAGGACCCCTTGTCTAAGATGATCATGTTTCTCCTAGACTATGGAAGGTCATCTTAGGTTCAATCGTATTTCGTACAACTCGTCTTATGTCCAGCGGCGGTCTTACCCTTTCATTTGTAGGGCATCGTGGTCGCATGCGCTCACTTACCCGAAGACATTATAACCCTGACACTATGTTCAGGGAAGGTAACATTTGACATTTACCCATTGCTTTTTGAAAGTCACATCATATTTTTCCATCTCTTTCCCCTCAAGAATTTCAGTCATCAACAAAGTTTTCTTCAATCTCCTTTTCTTGGTTTGTTTTCCGTCTTACTTCTTTCACCTCATTCTTTTAATGTTTCATCTTCTGTCTTTCCTTGTTGTCCTTTGAGCCAAATTGATTGTTTGTAAACTTGTTTGTTTGTTTGTTTGTTGTTTATTTTTCTAGTCTTCCTTTTTTTTTGGGTTCACCACTCCTCCCCCCCCCCCCCCCCCCCCCCCCCGACTTATTTCTCCCTTCACCTTTTCTACCACCAACCTCATCCTTCCCCCATACCCTGGCCTCAGTAAATGACTCCTGTTTGCATTCTCAGTCCAATTTTACAAGTAATGCATGCCTGACGCAGGGTTTTTGGGTCTTAATACCACCTAGGATCTTCATACTTGAGAGACAAATTCATACTGCTGTTCTTGTGACAATAGTTTTTCTGATTGGAGTTACTGAAGAACCAGCCCTTGAAGATGATTATGGGAGGTAGAATACCCGCTGTTAAAGTAAATGGCAAAAACATTTAAGAGGATCTTAGCATTGGCACTTGTGTATTTTTTGTTCAAGTGATTTATTACTGTGCCTGCTTGTTGTGCCACCAAAGACAGATATTGGCTGATTTTGTTTTACCTTTGTGATAGAAGATAAAAATCAGAAAGAGAGAAAAAAGAGATCACTGTAAGGGTTCTTCTCTATACGAGTCACTTTTTGCCAAGGAAAAGCTCATGCTGTAAGAAGCGTATATTAGTGAGTGTGCTACTTTCTTTAGCCTACCTACCCACCCCCCACCCTATCGTACCCGTCACCTTTGTCTTTTCCTTCCATTCCCAATCAGCCCAATCAATTCTCCCTTCACTGCTTTACTGAATCAGTCCCTTTTTTGTGTTGGTTTTTTGCAAAGTTTTGTACTTAAATTAAACCATAGTCCTGTCAGATAAGGAGACATAAGACCTTCTGGATATAATTAACTATTAAAAGTTAGAGTATTGATTAAATTAAGTCCTTTTAGTCAGTTTCTTTAAGTTTTTTTTTTTTTTGATGATGTGGAGAAGAGAGGTGAATTTACTCGCCTTTTTCATCTGTTAGATAGACCAGGAGCATAATATTGTAAGAGGATATTGTTAGTTGAGTAAATGATTTTTAATATTTTTGTGATGAGCATTGATATAAATTAAGCTACAGAGATGATTTGGATCAGAGAAGTGTGAAGCCTTGAGGACGGTGGGTGGTGGGTGGGTGGGGGTGAGTTGAAATAGAATACAAAGTACAAGAAAAGGCCAAATATTTGTGTTAGAAATTTGCCTAAAGTAATATTACAGCTGAGTTACTGCCATGTTCTATTAATGTAAATATAGATACTGTAGGTTTTTGAGGGTGCTTGTTTTAGATTTGATGGATATTCTCTCTGAATTTTTTTCTGTCGGCGATTGGCGGGTGCTCTGGTGTGGTCTGTTCCTTTTTTCCTATCGCCTTTATCTTTCCTTTTTCTTTTTTGTGTTTGTTACTCTCTTGTTACACCTCAAATCTTCGGCACTTATATGACCTTATTGTAGTGCAAGTGCTGTAAAACTCTGTGTTGTCTTTGTTTGTCATCTTTCTTTTCCCTTCAGCTCTGTGACGATTGTGATGAAATTAACTTGAGTAAATCTAATTTTTTTTAATATTTTTGGTTTTTTTCTTGAAAACAAATTCCATTATGACTAGAAAAGGTTCAGTGCAATATTAGCACTGAAAATCCTGCTAAAATAGGAGCACCCCCACCCACTTTCAATACTAAGGCCCAATTTAGTGCAGCTAGATTTTGCATGTCTTTAATTAACCATTATATTCTCTAGAGCAGTAGAAGCAGTGTTTCAGTGGGCTTATATGTTTCTTAAAGCTGATACAAGCTTTTTTTGTGCAGAGATAATAAAATTCATCCTGTCTATTCTTGTGCATTTAGTACTTTTGGTGTTTTCTTATTACATCTCTTCGTCTTATTGCATGTTTTGATCTGTTACATAATATCTCTGTTGTCTGTCTATCTCTCTGATCTTATTCTCAGTTTTATGTTGATTTTTCTTCTCTTTTAACTCATGCTTAACATAAGTTCTAACATTTTTGAAGTTGTTTTCCCATGTTTGATGCTGACTGCATAAAATAAGTGATACACTATAGAAAAAAATAAGAAAATAAAAAGAAGAATTAATTCGATGTCTTTTCCTCATCCTTCTTAAAGCAAGGCCAAATGGAGTTTCTTCATTTGTCTTGTAATAGGGATGGCGACATACAGTAAAGTGTCGAGCCTCTCTCTTAATGTTGTTCTTTACTGTGTCCCCAGATCCCAACTCGACGGTCAACTGTCGCAGCTGGCAGCTGATGGCGGTGACTGCAAGCACACTGTGTCCAGCCAACACGCGTGTTCAGAAGTATGTTCTGTGTCACCTGAAGAAGTGCTCCATGGACACCACGACGGAGGAGGGGAAGTTTGCTCGCTTCTCACTCAAGGTGGGTGGTGATGATGCTCTTTTTGTGTGTACGTGTGTGGAAGGGGGATAGTGTATATATGTGTGTATGTTTCTGTGTTTGTCTCTGTCTGTCTGTGTGTGTGTGTGTGTGTGTGTGTGTGTGTGTGTGTGTGTGTGTGTGTGTGTGTGTGTGTGTGTGTGTGTTTGTGTGTGTGAGTGTTTGTGTGTGTGAGTGTTGTGTGTGTGTGTATGTGTGTCTGTGTGTGTGTGTGTGTGTGTGTGTGTGTGTGTGTGTGTCTGTGTATGTGTCTGTGTGTGTTGGGGGGGGGGGGGGGGTACTTATTACCTGCTAAGTTGTGTGTAGGATGCTGTTATTAACCAATGACAACACCATGTCCAGCTGAATGCTGACTCTAGATGAACTGCTCCTTTGATTTGTGCCTATTTTGTTGATCCTTTTTTGTAGATAATGATGTCTGGATTTATTTTATACACTGGGAAGGTATTCCATCTTGTGTCTGTAAATCAATTTTCCATAAAGGAAACTAATATGATTGGGTTCTTTTTTTATATTTTGGTTTGCAATTTATGATAGATATAATACAGACATTTCCTGTTTCTTGTTTCAGTGTTTGAACAGAACGATTGAGAAGAAAAGGAGAAAGTTTGCTCCTTCTGGAAGAGAAATTCAGTGTGTCATTCAAAGGTGAGCCATCTAACTGTTGTCAACTCTTTTGTACACAACAGATTTTGTGTGTGCATTGCATAGAATTACATTTGTAGTTTATCTGCTGTGGTCAACCATTTCTTTTGAGACTCAATGTTTGGTGGAGAGATAACGTTTGGTTGTTTGCTGTGGTGGCTTTTTAATTGTGGGAAGGGGAGGGGGGGTAGTGTTTAAAGGGATTCACTGGTTTAGTTTTGCTATCTTCTTCTTATATTTTGTAAGAATGATGGAGAGTGTTTGTGCTAGACTTACAAGCTTTTGCATATTTATACGGCTTTGAGACCATCTTCTAGCTTTGTTAACAGATAATGATTTGTATTCTGAGGAAAAAAAATTGTTTTATTTGGGACATGCTCTAGGATGATTAGAAATTTGTTAAAAAATCCCTCTCTATTCCAAAAGAACTTTTTTAAGATGGAAATTTTGGAGGAAATAAGAGAGAAAGGACAAAGGTCACTCATAAGCTTACCATATTTTCAAGGACATTGTATGATTTATTTTCTAGATTAAGCTCAGTGTTTCCCTATCTTATCCTATATGAGCTCCATGCCGGGGGGAGATGGGGGGGGGGGGGGGGTGTTAATGCATCCCATTCAGCAGGGAACTGCTGGTTTAGATTATGTTTGCATCTGAATAAGATTTCGACTAATATGTGTTTGTGTGTTTCAGGAAACCAGTAACGCAGAAAATCTACTTCCTCAATGGTGAGCAGAGAGTGATTGAGTTTGACTCAGCTGGAACATGTGGGGAGGTAAGTCAGTCTTGTTAAAGCTGTCATTGTGCTAATGTGGGATAAAAAAGTATGGAGCCGTAAATATGATTTCGAAAGAATTTAGTGGTACAGCCTTTTTATTTATCTAAATAATGTTGAGGAAGACATATGAACACCTACATTAAAGAAAAAAGAGTTCGTCAGGAACATTATCATACTTTACTTTTCCGATCCAGCAACCGTCTGAGTTTGAGCCCGTTGGCCTACAGTATTATCATAAAAAATAACACTCTAACAATGGAGATGTTCACTAATTTGATGGTGCATGATGGGAAGCCTGATATGGTGTTAAATCTGTGATGTTGCAGTCTACAATCGATAGATTTATGAGGCTCTTTCTGCCGTGAGTCCTTGCGATATAACGTTCACTGACAAAAAGAACATACTGGTATCTGTGGTGTAATGGTAAGGCTTTTTGTGTTTTTTGCTGAGGATATGAGTTCAATCTTTGAGTGGGGTGTTTTTATCGAAGGATATCTGTCTGTCAGCATAGATGTTGTAGGTTACCCATTCAGCCTGAGTTGGTCCTCAATATAATAATTTGCAATTAAAATTTCTATTACAATTACAACAAAGTAGGTTTTTCATTGTCAATTCCATCCCTATACTTGTACTAGTTTATAATAATTCAATGAAGAAAAAAGTAACTTATCTCTTAATTTTTTGAGTTTAAATTTAAATGTTTGGCTGCTGTTATTTCAGTCTCTTTTGTTTTTCTTTCTCTAGATGATCAAGACTGTTAAGACCAAGATTGGCATGAGGTCGGATGCCGAGTGCTTCGCCATGTATGAAATCATGGGAACTTCAGGTATGTTCATAACCTTTCAGTTACTGGTGTCATTGTTTTTTTGCAAATTGCTTTTGTCATCATTCAGTCTCTGATTTACCATTCATGACAGGGCTTTCTGAAAGGACATCTACAAGATAATGCACACACACGCACTCGCTCACGCATACACACACCACACACACACACACACACACACACACAAACACACAAACACACACACACACACAATCACACACACACACTCACACATACACTCACACACACACACACACACACACACACACTCACATATACTTGTATAAATATCTTTACACCTACATACATTATGTCTGTGACAATCATCAGTGACAATCATTTTTTTCCCCCTACTTAGAGCGTGCCATGACATGTGATGAGCGACTCTCAGACACAATCAGCAAGTGGGACCGACTGTCGCGCAGCGGAGCTGTCAAAGAGCTGAAACTAGTCTTCAAGGTAAACTTTTTGACTACCCTCATCCTCCGCTCCACTTACGCTATTTTTCTTCTTTTTATCCCTCTTCTATTTCTTTATCCTTCCCTCTCCTATTCTCTGCTTTATTTGATAGCAATCCTTGATCGCACTTCAAGTTTTGTTTCCATCCGTCTCTCCTAGTTTTATATACTGCCATGTTAAGTTTGCTTTTCTTTTTTTTTTCCCTTTGTTTAGTAGCTACCTCTCTTTACCGAAATGTTTTGTTGTTGTTTTTTAAATCATATCTTCTTTCTTAATTTTGGTTTATTATGTCTGGCTTAACATGTGAATTTTGATAATCTTACTTCCATTTTATTGAAGGTGTCAAACTTAATAAAACAAAGGATAACCCTTCCTACCATTAAGTCTTAGTTCAAGTTCTTCTCTCGGAAGCTAATAAAAAAAAAGCCTTGAAATTATCAAGTCAAGTTCTGTTTTCTTATAATTTTTATCCTAGTCTTGTGAAATTGTAAGATTAAAAAAGAAATGTAGTGTCCTTCCTTATTTGATTATATTTCTTATTTCTGTGATGATTGATAACCTTGCATCGTTCTTCACTTTTGTTTCCAGAAACGTCTGTTTATTGAGCCATATGTGAACAACAGTGACCCCGTCGAATGTGACCTTTTGTTCAACCAGCTGATTGAGGATGTATTTGAACAAAGGATTCCTGTGTCACATAAAGAGGCCGTAAGTAGAACAAATATCAAGTTAGAAAAAGGAGAACAAAATAAAATACATTCCGTTTGTTTTCTATGATAGTTTGTTTTTTTATGACTTCCGTCGACAGCTGTGCGGAGGATACAATATTATGTTATTGACATACCATAAGATATATTCTATTTGTTTTCTTTGAAAGTGTTTAACATGACTTCTGTAGATACACTTCCATACGGATGATACAAAATCATGTTATTAACATGCCATCAAGTTCAGCTCTCTGTTTTTGAGGGAGGGTGATCATGTTGTGCCCAAGGGAGACAGGCAAAATGGAGCAGTATTTGCTAGGTCTGTGTGATCGACAAATTTATGCTCATTCTTCTGCCTAACCCTGAGTTTGGGATGTGTTGGCTGGTTTCAAGTTTCAAGCTGCATTGTTTGTACAGACCAATTATGAAAGTTTCCTCTGATTTGAATATTACCATGATAAACAAAACCTATACTTAACACAAAGATATTTGGTGTTTTTTTTTAGCAAACCATGCTTCGGCACAAAAAGATTTAAAAAAATAATTCATACATTTTATTTTAATCACTCATTTTGATAATATGTGTAGGCCTACCAAGAAAACTGAAGTTCATAATATGACAGGATGGATGTATATATTATGAAGCAAAATAATGTTTGAAACAACACTGGAGTAATAGAAGAAGAGTTTCTGCAAGTGAATTCTTTGTGAACATTCTCCTTTTTTGTCACAGATGATTTTTCCTAGCTACTGTGCTCTTACGGAGATTACATGACCTTCTGTTGATTTGATATGCTGGTATTTTTTTTTTTTTAATGACATTGTTTACCTGTGTTTCTTCAGGTTCACCTCTGTGCCTTGAAGGTTCAATCTGAAATTGAAGACATGAAATCTGGTGATATTGATTATACGTAAGTTGCCATAAATTCAGGAGTGTCGAACAGTCTGTAGGATACTTAGCTGCTATGATTTGTTTTCTGTGAATGGTGTTCCCTGGTGTCTGACAAATTTTCTTTAATGTGTATTTTATAAGTGGAGCTGTTATTTTTAAAATCAGATTGTGCTTTTTTTTTTCCCTTCAAGAACTTCTTTGTTTGTTCATGTGTTCTCTTCGAATGGCAAATGATGTGCATGCTATTGGTGGTGTAAGGGTGTAAAATCAGGAATCTACTCACTAAAGTTTACATCTAATGGTTGATTGACGAGTGCTGTGTTCACACAATCCTGCCATGCACAGTGACAATTCAGTGATCTCACTTTAGAAACATATATGCTTTACTTCAGGGTTTTTTTTCAAACTTGTGAACGGGCTCACTTTGTTTGAGTTATTGAAGAACCGAATGCACATTATCAAGTTCATCGTATTCAGCGGGATTTTGCACCCTGATAATAGGTTCAGGCTTGTACTCTGATGATTTTGCTTTACTCATATATCGTAATCTTGTCTCCATCCAGCTCGGTGATGCGTATCTTGCCTCGTGACATGCGCTGTACGGTGCGCCCGGAGGAAGTGGCGACCACACACAAAACTGTTCTGGACATGAGCCCGCACCAGGCAGTGGTCTCTTTCATCAACCTGCTCAAGAACTGGTCACTCTTCGGAGCCACCATCTTTGAAGTTTCTGTAAGTTTTTTCTCCCCATCACCTTCTCTATTTCACATAGTTATCCACATATCACGTAGATTTTTATTAACGTAACAGAAAACTGAATCCAAAAACAAAAGAAAAAGAGCTTCAACTTTACAAACAACCACTTCCCACTTCCCTATGTGTTGTTTTCTTTATTACAATAACACTGTCTAATAGGACCACCTGTCTAAGATGGCCACTTTTCTCCTTGATGATGGATGATCGTCTTGGACAGGTTGGGCTGAATGAAGTAGGTTTTGTTGTCTTCGGCTGGCCTGGTCTGGATTGATTTCATAAACATGAATTCTCTCTGTCTGAAACTTGTTGTGGGTGGTTGACGGGTGCTGTGGTGTGGTCTGCTCCTTCTTTCCTATCAAATATCTATGGTCCTTATCTCTCCTCCTTCTTTTTTGTGTTTGTTACTCTCTTGTAATACCTCTAATCTTCAGCACTTATATGACTTTATTGTGTTGCAAGTGCTGTAAAACTCTTTCTAGAGCTTAAAACTGAAACTTGTCTTTCTACAGCAAACGTACACGTCCACTATGCCAAAGAACCTGTTGCTGGGTGTTCACCAGAAAGGCATCTATTTGCTGGAGATGAACACATTTGTAAGTAGATAGCTTTATTGACTTTTGAATTGTACATTACTGTGTTATGCTTTTTTTGTTTAAGGGTACAAAAGGGTGTTAAAAGTATAAAAACTTGCTGTTTTCATCACTTTTCATACGTGTGTCACACCCCTATTGAGAAGGCTAGGTTCAATCTGGTAGAAAATACTAGTGTAGCTAAAATTTCAGGATTATTGGCTCCTCTGTGTTGTGGTAAGGCGGCATCGCAATAGCTCCTCCATGGAAGATTAGGGCAGCTTTGTGGTCAACAGCTGAGAAATGCATACTGGCACCTCTGACAATGAAGAATTTTTCTAACTGTATATATGGGTGGTTGGCGGGTGCTTTGGTGTGGTTTACTCCTTCTTTCTTATCGTCCTTATCTCTCCTCCTTTTTTTGTATATGTTACTCTCTTGTAACACATCTATTCTTCGGCACTTATATGACCTTATTGTGTTTTGCAAGTGCCGTAAAACTCTTACTAAAACCAAACTAACTGTAAACAATACAGATGCTTACCTGTATTATTTCTTGTATAAAAAAAAAAAAATGTATTAATGAAAGAAATGTCACTTCATCCATTGTCATAACTGACAGGCTATACTCAATGAGTGATGATATGTGTTACACATGCTCTTTTCCAGGATGTTCTGTCTTCCTACGGCTACTCGGACATTGTCCACTCCAGCCCGGCTATCAAAAGTATTATGATTGTGATTGGTCACATGGCAAAGGGAATCAAGTTCATGTTCAACACCAATCAGGTACGGTCGTTATCAGGATTTGTGTTCATTGACTTCGACTATGTGATTTTGTCTATTTGATTCTTTTGATTTATTTCATACAGTCAAGGCTGTTCAGGATTTTGCATAATGGAGAGGCAAGAGCTATCATTTTGGCACAATTTGACCAAATGCTCCAAAATCAAACATGGTTGTTTTACCAGGTCATGGATCTGATATGTTTGATACGTTGGGTGAAAACAGCCAATCACAAGGCTAGTAACTTGCAAATCACATGACATTATGAGGTGAGATCTTTTGTTTATGTGCAGAATGTGATAATGAATAGTCTTAGCCCTGAAAGGCAGGGTCCAAATGATATAAATTGTGTTGATGGTGGTGTAAACTACCTAAATTTAAAAAAAAGAAGAAATCAAATATTTAAATGGTTTTGATTTTGTCACCAAAGGTAAAAGTTTTCTCTGACTTATCTAGTGGGTCAAACTTGATGAAGCCAGGCGAGTTTCTATTTGACGAAAACTGCAATTAATCAACTTGGCACGTCCCAATCTAATCCTATGGATAGGGTCCATTTGAAAAATAGGTATCAGCTCTCAGATGTTTGAACCTCCTCTCTTCCTTCCGTCCTTCCACAGGCGTCTCAGATTGCCCAACTGATCAAGGACTACATGGAGGAGCTGCAGGCCCGCTACATGCTGACCCCGACTGAGAACTCCAACCGCATGTCCCGAGCCTTCGACATCGACGAGCTGGAGAGGACAAACGCATATTTACAGAACTTTGATATTGATCGATTTTGAAGCGTTTTGCTGTAGTAAACAGGCAAATGCATTCTTACAGAACCTTGATGTTGATAGATTTTGAAGGGTTTAGCTGTATTGTACGGGCGAGATGTCACTTTGACTGAAGATAGTATTTTTTGGTTCTGAGGGAACTTGTTTGGAATTCAGGGTTCCCACCTACTTCAGGAGATGTCCACCTACTTCAGGAGATGTCCAGGGTGACCCAGATGAAGAAATTTGAAGAAAAAAGCTGTGCTCATATATAACTGCAGAGATATTGAAACGAAGGGTTTTTCTTTTCCCTACAAGGCTTAGTTGAGATCTCTCCGAGATAAAATGTTAGAACATTTTGGTGTCTTTTTTTTTCATTGGACATGTGGACGGAGGCAAAATCTGTGATGGTATCATGAGCAAGTGCTGGTAGGTTTGTGTGTGGATTAGGTACTACGTTCAGGAGATTCAGGTGGCTGTGGCTGTGTGCAGGAATCCATTTTTCACAATTTGTGAGACAATCCCTGAAACTGTTCTTATGAGATTGCTTGAAAATACGTATTTTGCAAAATGATTTCAAGTTGATAGCATGTATGTTCTTATTGTTTTAGGACTGCAGATGTACCATCGTGTCATCTGTCCTGAGCAGTGAAGGTTTTTGTATCTGATCAATTGCTTTTCTTTGATGAAAGTCATAGTCAAGAGTTATATCTTAAATGTTTGGGTAGTTGTCAGTGAGAAGTGGAGAAAAGTTTGATAACTGTTCACTGGACAGGCAAAGAATAATTTTGTCTCACAGAGGTTTATAAAATGTAAGCCGAACCAAAGATGTCTCAGTGTGTACCGGTCTCAGTTTGAAGCAGAAATTCCAGTTTTGCTGTACTTTCTCCTTGGAGTAGTAAAATAACATTTCTGAATAAAACAACACGTCTACAGATTTACATGACTGTGCAGAAATCCTTTTACTTGTCCTATAAGTAGCCATATATGTGGCACGGGAGCTGCCCTTGAAGATTTTATTTATTACATACAGTGATCCACACACTGCATTGCTGTCCATTTTTGTAATGCTTAATGCTGTATATCTGTTTTGTATGTCTTTTTGAGGTGACATAATATTTTGATACAACTCAATTCTGAACATTTGCATTTGTTTCTTATTTCAAACCCATGTTAATGGGTTTGTGTTTGCTCGTCAGTAATTTTACAAGCTCCCAGCTTGGAGAACATGACATAATTCTAGTCCGTTTGTTAATTTATCTTGTTTATCATACACTGATTGTGTAAATAGATTTTGTGTTTGTATATGTGTGATTGTATTTATGTATGCAGGGTGCTTTTTGGGAAATGAATTTTGTCTGAAAGCAAAGTGTCTGGGAGAATTTAGAATTTTTTGGGGGTTCTCTTTTTCTTTTTTTTCTTTTTTTTTTTTTAAAATTTTGTTTTCATGTTAAAGTTAAAGTAAGGCCAACAAGTAATGTATTTAAATTATCTTGTGCACTTCTCTCATTTTCCCATTACTCGACGTATTTTTCTCCGAAGCTGCTTTTTTCATTGTTGTATTTAGTCTACACTTTTTTTATACATGTATATTTATTTTCTACTTTGTACTTAAACAAACAGGTAGCATTGTTTGCAATATCAACAAAATCTGTGTAGCTTTTGGTTTCATTTGTAATTGTTTTTGTTTTCAATAGGTGGCTGTGCTTCGGTTTTTTGTGGTTCTCTGATATGTTATAGATATATATAGATCTGCAGCAATAATGACTTTTGAGAGAATTGTCGCATGGCGTAACAAAAATAGGCTTACTGCTGATGCTGTAGTCTGAATCAAGTGTCGTGTGTGGTAGAAGTTTTAGGACTTGTCACTTTGTATTTTTTTTTACAAGGTGCTTGAATGTGCTGGATGTCTTTGTGCGAAAGGAGAAGAAAAAACAATTTTCATTTGCTATCAGAACCAGTCCATAAGTGCTTCATCAAGAAAAAACATCACAACTTTTTCATGTGTAGTTCTCAGCTCCTGACTTGAAAAAGAGAACCTGCAATGTTTTGGGGTTTTTTTTTTTTTCAAATTAAAATGGAATCCATTGAATGCCATAAATTCTACATTGCTAATACAACCCTGCTGTCTCCTTGTGCTTGTGGTGATGATGCGAATGCTGTTACTTTAAAAGGACGAATATGACCAAAGATTGTTTTCTCCAAAAGCTGTTCAGTCAATTTTTTTTTACCGAGCAGAGCCAGACCTTCGCATCTGGCCGCGAGGGGTCCCTGGCTGTGAGTCATTCCGATTTGTCCCCAACTTCACTGGATCTTTTGTCCCCCTATTCCATACAACTTAGAGAATGTTTATAAATACCGCTATGATACACAAAGCATTTATCAACTTTTAAAAATTAATTTCACTAAATAAAGTTGAAATTGCCAGCTCATAGAATGAGTAATTTTAACTTCTCTTATGTTTTTGTAAAGGAATTCTTTGACTAGTAAGTTAAGTGATCTTTCTGTCAAGAAAAAATGTAGCTGTCAGGATTGATTATTTTGAGATTACTTACAGTAGATATTTTCTTTTGAACTGAAGATTAATCGTTTTGAAAATGAAATTGTATTTGATTAGAAGTATGTGCAAGTTGATATTTAGTTTAACAGAGTTTCGCAAAAGCTAACATACAGGTATTCATAATTAATAATAACTATTTCCTAACACATTGACATTTGTTTGCATGAGCAAGGAATCAAGGAGGAAAATGTGAATTTCTACTAGTCACTGCAATGATGATTGCTTTGTACAAAGATGTTATTCAGACCATGTCCGCTCTCGTGAAGGGTTTCGCCTCAGGTGTTGTTCTTGTGTGTGGGTTCAAAGTTACTTTTTCAGCTCTAGTCTGATTTGTGTATGGTTGTTCAGACGTCCACAATGGTCTGCTCCCGTAACTTCTTTTCATTGGTACTAATATCATAATCTGTTCCTGGCAAAATATGGTTGTCATCTCTCTCTCTCCGACTGGCGATGACTACAACTCAACCATGACTGCTCTAGTCTCACCAATTTATGATGTTCGAGCGACAGTGTGGAACCTTCATAATGCGGCATGGAGTAGCTCATGACCTTCTCTGTGTATTTATATACAGGCCTTTCTGGCATTGCTGTGCTATAAATCCTATAGCTCTGACATTTGTATTGTCAAGCTAGATATACAGTTTGCTTTAGCAGGTGCAAAAGAAGTTTTATATCTCAGGACAGATGAGGCGCCAGGGAAGTGTACATTCACTTTGTATAACCCACTGATAGTAATGATGGTTCTTACGCATTCTGCATCTTTGTCTTTTTTATATCTCCATCCTTGAATGACTGTCTCCTTGCTGTCTTACTGGTTCAGTTCCACAAAGTCATTCTTTGGGACTTTTCTGTTTTATGTCTCAAACAGTGAGCTAACCGAAGCTTTTTCCTGATCAATTCTTTTGCCTTTACAAGTGTCGCGCTAGGCTCTGGGAAATCCATGAGATTTCGTGTCTCTGTGCCATAACGCATGTTGGAGCGGGCAATAAAGTTATCTTAATTATCATATCTTACTTGTCTCAGCCTTTCTTGTATTAGGGGTTTGATTATGGGACCTTATACCCATATCGCACTATTTATATAGGCTGCTGAGTGGCGGGAAGCTGTAGAAGTTAAGTCTCGTTTTCTTCAATTTACCTTTACGCGGATGTCCAAATTAATCCACTGCGAGATCAGCGACAGCTCATACGAGGACATTATTTTCGTCCCTAAGGAGTGTGAATGTGAATGACTGCACCTTCTACTTCTCATGTGACTCGTGAATTATTTGAGCTCTAGCCCCGCGGGCCTTATAGGACCTGCACACCTGACCTCCCTCGGGTTTGCTACTAGATTGGCTTCACCGTACACTCAGGCATGTGTCTAGATCCATATGGTTGATTACTTCATCATGTCTTGTGTGCATCATATATATATATATATATATATATATATATATAAGATGATCATAAAGACAAGTGAATTCCTAAAATTTTCCTAAATGACAAGGGAAAAGTAGCATTCTTGGAAGCCTGCTGGTGGCAGTGTTGGTGCAGAGGTGTGGCTCAGATGACCCGCAACAAAGAAGTGTTTTGGTGTATATCTGAATATTTCTTACTGCGTTATGTCAGACTGGTGAAGTCTGCCCGACGTGAGATAAAAAAGTGGTCTTGCTCCTTCTTGAACGGTGGTGATGTTTTTTTTTTTTATCCCTTTACTGGCTATTGCATGTACATGACTAATGCATAACATACAAGTTTTGGTGCTCTTTGCTAATGTAAAGTAATTCTTTTGTTGTTGTTTTTTTCCTGGTAAACAATGCATATTTTTACTTTGTTGTAGGAAAACGTGCAATGTAATGTTTAAACTGTATTGTTCTATTTTTGTTGAAGGCACTGTCCTTCGGTAGGAAGTTTTTTAACACAATGACTAGTGATTTCTAATTTTTTCTACTATCTTGAAATTTCAACCCTAATCTGATATGATGTCATTGTTTACATGGGAAGATACATATTTAGTGATTTGGAAAAAAAAAAGTTTCTTACGTTATGACAAGTTTGCCAGTTATGTGAGCTGTTCCTTTGAGAGAGGTCTTTTGGCCCGCCTATGTATGTGTTTTCTTAGTTCGAAATTACGCCCCCCCCCCCCTCCTTCCCCATATCACAACCAATACCCTGAAAAAAAAAATCAAAGTTATACAAAAGCATTACATTTACCTTTCATTGTCCCTTCTCAGTCCAGTCTGTTTGACAATCTACATGATACATTCACCTTCTGAGGTACCAATGTTTTGTTGGAGTGTTTATTCATGGGGCGTATATATAATTTTGACCTCCAAGGCAAAAACTTGATCAAAATGCCCATCCTGATTTTTTTTCATTTTACACTCGTCGTATATATATATACATTCTTTTGAAAAACAATTTTTGATGTTCTTTCTTTCAAAATCGGTAGGAATAATATTCCTGGTGAAGGGCTATAATTGATTATGTTTGATTGACAATTTGTATGACCCTCAGTGATGTTTACTTTTGAAATACAGTTGACTATGTCCAAGGCGATCACTCTTTATGGAGGAGGAAAGTGGTCATCTCAGTAACATACACAGAGGAGGTAGCGGTCTTTAGTTCAGGTGATTGTCTTGGACAGGTGGTCGTTAAGGGCAGGTTTGACTGCTATTAAAAATCAAATTTTGATGTTCTTTCATTCAAAGTTGGTAGGAACAATATTCCTAGTTGAGGGCTATAATTGATTATGATTGATAGAAAATGTTAATGTCCCTCAGTGCTGTTAAGTTTAGAAATAACTGTGGATTCATTGCCCATTGGAGGTGATATAGCTTTTCTGTGTGTTGAGATTAAGTGTTTTCAAATGTTACAAGTTTTTCTCGGAATCCGTCATTTTCCTTTGTCATGCAGTGTAATGATTTTTACATTGTAGTTTACTTAATTCTATGTTTCAGAACGTTGTGTTGAGTGAACCCAGAGTTTGTGAGACTTGCAGCAGACTTATGGCCAGTATTTCAGAGACATAGCGTCGTTGAAGTAGTGTGGTTGAATAACTGTTATTGGAAGTTTTTAAAAGTAACTATCATTAGAAATCTATGATTTTTGCCTGACTCAATTTTGTTTGAAAAGAAAGAAAGAAAAAAAAAGTTCCTTTCGAAGTCAAAAATTTATCTGCCTGTCTCAGAGTTCTGTTCTTGTTTGGCTTTAGAGTCCGTAATGTCAGCAGAATCAAGAACATATGAGAACTACTTATTACATTGTGAAGAAAAAAATGTGAGAAAATATACAGTTTTTTTGCCATCTTTGTCTAAAGTAAAAATAGGAATATAGGCCAGCAGTTTTGTGCTGTATTGAAAGAGTTTCCCTAGTATAAGCTAATTAAATTTATTTGAATGCATATTTACTGCTCAATGTAGGCCTACTACTGTAAGACTGTGTCTACATAACTTTTCAAAACAACGCATTTCAGAGTCTTACACTAAGCAGTTGATATGCAGTTTTAAGATCTTGTAGCCTTTTTGACTGAGGCAGAGGGTAGTATTGACAAAATTAATCTGTTCTGTTCAATGGTTTTCCTCATGTGTTGTTTCACAATGGGTTTTCAATCTCAGACTGGCAGCTCTCTGTTCATTTATAGATTTTTTTTCCCTCTGACCCTCAATGAATGGAGGTCAGTGCTGTTTGCCCAGGCGGATTTACTTTCTTTTGTACTATGTTGGCAATGAAATGATTGTCATTGGGCTTAGAGAGACTGAGGCAGCATGATATTTGAGGGGAGTGCTAAGCAAATACAGGATAGTTTTAGCCCAGCTATACATTATTGTTACCTGTTCGGACCCTAATCGGTTCAGTGATATGATTAGGCACAGTTGTAGGTGCATCGGTTTTTTTTTGGTAATGTTTGTTTGATGGTTGAGGTTTGATCACTGCTTGGTGGACTGTGTGTGTGTGCGTGTCTTCTTGCTGTGTGGGTTAGCTGACGTCCAGGGGCTTACTAAAAACTTGGGTTAGAAAGTACAAATTCATGTCATACACTATGGATTTTTTAGTCCCCACTGTATGGACAAATTTCAGGGTCTTTGAAACGTGTGTGAATGAACTCAACATTGTAACAACGCGTAAATTTTCTGAGGCAAATCACAAAGTTAATAGATTTCACAAGAAAGTTTTGTCTTTTGATCAAAAGTTTCCTGTTTTGTATCTTAGTTGAGAAGAAATAAAACATTTTTTTTCTAAGTGTAGGTGGTTTTTTAAATGCCCTATTCGACCCAATTTAGATCATTAAGGAGGCTGGCTTGACCCTGCCTGTCAGGGCCAACCAGAGCTGAGAAGGATACAGTGTCCTAGCAGAAAGACTCAGATACTCGATAAAAATTCTCTCCACATAGGAGTTGAACTTGGGTCTTCTGCGTGTGATGGCAAAGCGCATAACCACTACACCACAGATGCTGGAAGTTGAGAAGAATGAGAGTGAATGATGGGGGGTAAGTCATAAGGGAAACCAGTAGCACTGATAGTTGATATTTATTAGTCCTATTGATTGTATTATTGACCCTGTATAGTCTTCCTTATTGTTTTTCATGTGTGTTGTACTCAAATGTCAGTAACACTTTCTTAAATTACAAGCATTTTGTTACTCCATAATACTGTCGTTATACTTTGTACTGTACTCCATTAAAATATACAACACTGACTGTTTTTTGGGGGGCAAGTTTATTTTGATTTTTTTACACAATTTTTATGCACACCAAGCTTTTGTACTGGATGCGGCAGTTTGAATATTGTGGATTCTACTTCATCATACTCAATACAAATTTTTTGTCTTTCTTGTTATGCATTTTTATAGTAAGTCTTACATTTGAAAAATGTCCTCACAGTTTGTTTCCATGATGCAACAAATTGTGCTAAATATGCATTTTGTTCCAAAATATTTTAAAATTAAACATTCCATTATTTTTTTTCTTTGTCTTTTCTTTTTTATGTATTGGTTGCATCCATGACTATGTTTGAAAGTAACTGATTGCTTTTATCGAAACCAAAGCATTTGCATTTACCAAGTCGACTGTGTGTGTTACATTGCGAAGTTTATTCAGGACATATGTGAAAAATGAATGAGTCCCATTAGCTCTTCTGGTCATTTTTTTTTTACCTACTTATTTTGTCTATAATATATTTATCCAAAGCTGTTTCCAACCCTGTGAAGAGGCAAAGACTGCAAGTACAAGTTCATAATCGCAGTTAGCTTTTTATGTTTGCCCCGATATCATTAGTCTGTCAATTTGTGTCACTTTAGTTTTAGGGATTTGAAAGTCGTGAAAATGTACACAATATGAAGGAAAAAAAGAAAAGAAATTAGAGTAGAATATTTTGAATAATATGATCAGCATGTAAAAATAGAACTGACACTAAAGCAGCTACAAATAACTTTACAAAATATGGGTTTGGACAATTGTACCTCTGACTCTGACAGTTTTTTTCCCCACGGTAATTTTTAAATATTTTGGTTGCTTGTCTGACTTTTTAAGAAAATGTGAAGGCAAAAGTAATTCTCGAAAGCCTTTGCTTGGCTTTGTGGCCGCTACCACCACCACCACCACAGACCTGTATGTTGACTGAGACTTTTCGCCCCTTTGGTGTCTGAAGAAGGTAGGCCTTGACCGTTGTCAGTTTTCCCTTTACATCAGGTGTCCTCGTTTCTATCTCCCTTTCTCAACGGTCTGTAAGGTACCTTCGGTTTCCCTTCAATATATTATAGGGTATTGACTTTTGTTATTTTTGTTTTCGTTTGTAATACTGCTTTTATCCATTTTCTGTACAAAACTTTGTTTAATGTAGTATGCTTTATTTGTTTTATATATTTGTTGACCCTTGAATTTAAAGGGTAACTTTTTGTACTGGTTTTCACCAGCTGATTTGTTTTAGTGATATCATTTGCATGCACCAGATTTTTTGTTGGTGATCCGGATAAAACTGCCAAAATTAAGTGGTGAAATTGTACGAGTGTGGCTAACCAACAAAAATGACTTGTCTCCACTACGTCTGCTTCTTTAATTAAACTTTTTTTTTCACTATTTTGTCTCTTCAGCATGATCAAGACCACCTGTGGTTCACATGACAATAAACATTAAATACTTTAAAGTGCCTTTTATGTTGTTTGATTGCAGGTAACATGTGCTATTTGGGCCGTTTATTTATTTTTGTTTTGACACTAAGTAAGTAAAAGAATGAAATAGAATCTTGGTCTCTATGCAGTTTTGTTTTAATTTTGTAATTAGTAATTTCCTTTCTTAAAAGTGTGACTTGAGGAAAATATGTGACATTAATTTGGGGGGCAAATCAACATTGATCTTGAGTTGTTCTTGGCTGCAAGTTTAAAGCAAAAACAAAAGAGTAACTTGACACCACAGCAACCATGATTTAATTTACACACCAAATTTGCATTTATTGAACCAGAATTGGGTTCAAATCTATTCTACTAACCGAAAGCAAGTATATCATCCATGGTCTTTCTCTATTCATGGTTGCCAATTTTTAAATATTTTTTGTTTGTTTTGGTTTTGATGGGTGTATGAGATGAGTGAGAGTGCCTTGTGGGTGCCTGCAACGTCTGAGAAGAATCCACAACCTATAATATATACGTCTGTGGTGGCGCTTCATACGTGACATTGTGTACTCTGAGCTATCCACAGGCCGCTAACCTCCCATGCCTTATTTACACATCATCATTTGCGCCACCTGTCAGTCAATTTACGTTCTCATCATTGTGCATCATAGTTTTGTGCTTCTATGTGCTGATTGGTTAATAAACAAAAGACGTTTTGGAGAAAAAAAAATTGCGTCTTAATTCATCTTTTTACACTGAAGTCTGACTGAGCAATCCAATTCGTCACTAGATCCTTTTACTTTTTCCTTTCAAATTTGTCCATCATCTATCTTGTAGTACATTTTTGATATATCATAATCATAATATACTGTTAAGTCCATTTAAACGAAACAAGTTTAATCTGAAAACAGTGGTAAACCGAAAAGAAATGAAGTCCCTGATTTTTTTTCTTTTATTTGAACAACCTCTCTAAACCAAAATGGCAGCTAAACTGAAGAAAAACCCAGCGGTCCAGCAATATTTGGTTTAAGCGGACTCTGCTGTATACGAAACCCCTCCTAGGGATGCCATTTGATCTTGGAAGATTCAGAATTTTTAGGATAATCAGCCTTTCTCATCCCATGCCGGAGTATAAGCCGCCGACAAGAGCTCTTCATGTACATGTATTTCTTTCCTGGGTTATAATCTCCAGCTGTCCAGCTGCACTAATCTCCTTTAGTTTTATTTAGCCTCTAGGTCGGAATCTAAAATACCTCCCCAGTCAAGTATCTTTACCTTCCTTCCTTTATTTAAAAACATAGGCATACTTTGACATCATACTCACAAATCCAGAATTTAACAGTGATTTTGAACACAGAAGTTTGGAGCATCTGAAGTTTGCATGCAACCTTTAGAGAGAACTTGTTTTGAGTGAGTAAAGAGAAGTTATTTATTTAAGTTCATTAAAGAGGATGGCAATCCTTTGATATCCAGGGAAAAAGGCAGGACATGCAGAAAAGACAGTGGAAAGATGTAGAGAAGTAGCGCCTACCACCACCTCACGCTACTCTAAAGGTCTCATATATTCATGTAGGCCTAGAGTAAAACCCTGATAACGTGAACTTCATGGGACCAAAGATTTTCTTTGCGTCCAGCAGATTTCGTTTTAAGGCTGAAGTTGCAATGCATAGAATAAAGAGAGAAAAAAGCACCAAAGATCTGAAACCCTTTCATGGCAACAGGAAATTTGAGTTCAACCCCTTTGTATTACTATTAAACAGTTTACTGTACGTTCTTACACTTGTACTGATGGGCTCACCCCTAACAAGATAACAGCCATTTGGAGCTGGTAAAGAGAAAGATCAGATACAGTGACAGAGACAACGGAAGGAAAGAAAGACAAGAAGTAAGACCTTCCAGTGACACCTTTAACACCACCATCAGTTTGGTAGACATCAAAAAGTTTTTGGTGCATTAAAAACCTCGATTTTGGAGTACTGGTGGTAAATTTACATCGTAGTTTAGTGTTTGGCTAGTCAACTAAATAACATGGACATTTTGACATTAAAGATAACAGTTTCCCAGGAAAATAGGAGAGCATAAGACTAATAAGAGAAAATAAATGCATACTAATCACTCACTTGATCTGACACATACAAATTGTTGTTACAATTTGTAAAAAAAATGTCTAAAACAGGCATACTGTGTTGAAGGATGTGTATGACTATAAAAAGATCTACATTGAAACTTAATAAAGGTAAGAAGCTGTTGCTGTCTTGAAAGTTTTTCTCAATAAACTTCACAGCCAAAATGATGAACATTATAAATTCTAAAAGAAGAAAACTAATTCTTTAGCCCCATCTCCCTTAAAAACGTCTAGCTCACTCAGAGCCCATACTGTGTACAGTGTACACAATGTAAATGATGGAACCTCACGATTCGAGAGCAGGAACAACCTGTTTCCAAAGACTTTGCAAAAGTGAAACAGTACTTGTTGACAAGTTGCAATTTAACTTAATTTATCATGATACTGGCAGCATTTCACTAAAAACAGAATTTGGACAACACTGAAAGAAAAAGCAGCACACCATGCCAAAGCACCTACCAACCACCCAACCCTGGGAAAAGAAATGTCACAGAAAGGAAAGTGATACTGAACGACACAGTCATCCCTAAAATACATAATGAGGCAACACAAGAGTTTAGAAGTTCACTAACAACAGGGTTCGTACAAAACGTAAAATGAAGCAAAAAGTACAACTCAAGAAATACAATATGAACAAAATGATTTTTATTTGCAGTGTTTTCATATGGAAACAAACGTGATTAATGAAATATTTACAATGGAGCCTTCAAAACAAAAGATTGATCCACTTATTCTCCATCCACCAAGCCATGCCCCTCTCACACATTTTCACACACTACCTCACAACAGAAACAATCATACTTACTCTTGCAACACAACTGGAGGCCAGATCTTATGTTGTAAATACTATCTGTAGAGCTAAGAAAAACCCTCCAGACCATTTCAGATATTTCATATGAAGTAAAAGTATCTAATTCTAGAAGTTTGACACAAGCAGTAGAAAATTATATTTCAGTTTAAAACATCTCTGCCCCCGTCTCCTTCAAAGTTACCAATCTGTTAAATTTCTTAACAGACAAAATTTTCTTTTCGAGAGTACTATGACATGCCAATATATTAAAAGGGAGGGCCAAATTTGATGAGCTTCAATAATAAAAGCATAAAGCATCAAAGAAGCCTAAAAATTATCTATTTAGAATATCTTTCAACGATATCAAAAAGTCCCCTTCTCCCTTGTACATGCAAGTACATATGACATACACACACCAACCTCTAACACATTTGTGAATATAACCTGCACTCATACACATCTTTACTCTTCAACGCCCAAACATGTACACACTTGACCATGAACTTGAGATTGCAGCACACAGTGTCAAAGACCTGAAAAAAAAAAGATTGAAATAAGAGGTATTGCATGGCAAAAAACAGTAACATTAAACTAGTAATACAGCTGAAATTAAATGTTGACAGGCAGAACAAAGTGTTCAGCGCTTGAATTTTTGACAAACACCTTTAAAATATCTCAAGCGGTTGAAAATACCCCTCTCCCCTAAAAACACAAAACAAATAAAAAAATCCTTGACTCATTGCTACATTTTTACTTATGGAGGTAAAGACTTAAAAGCATCAAACATAAGGGAATTGCTCTAGTCCAGCGCCCTTGGTTGATAGGTGAGGGATGAGGCATGACCAAAAACTATAAAAAACAAAGTAACTTGTAAACAGTCAACACTGATCCACAAAGAGAAAACATGGTGCGTTTCTGAATACTAAAGTCTTCATACTTCTTTTAGCTTTTTAAAAATAATTTTAGTAAGAGTTTTACGGTACTTGCAATACAATAAGGTCATATAAGTGCCGAAGATTAGAAATGTTACAAGAGAGTAACAAACACAAAAAAGAAGGAGGGGAGATAGAGAAGAAAGACTTTTTATAGGAAACAAGGAGCAAACCACACCAGAGCACCCACCAACCACCCACCTTCATACTTCATCCGCAATCAGCCTGACCACAAACAAACAAATTTAACAACAAACAGAAGCCAGAAAAACAAATAAATAAATGAATCAAGACAAAAAACACAGTAACTTACCCAAAAAGTCATCCATCAGAGTACCAATTGCAAACTGAAACAAACAAAAACATTTTAGAAATAGAAATTCCTAAGAAGGATGAGAGAGAAAAAAATAAAGCTTCTTTTACCATAATGATGAGGCAGTAATAAAACAAGAACACATTTCTTTTAAAAGAAATAACTGAAAACTGAAAGAATTCATTGCACTGAGCTTATTCACTTCATTAACAGTTAAAGGTATTCTTAGAGTTTTCTCTCTTTTTTTGGGTAGTGTTTTACAGCACTTGGAACTGCGTAGAGGGTCATATGAGCGAGTGATACACATTAAACATTTTCAGTTTGGTAGAAATTGATTTTGAATTTTGCCCGGGTGGTGGCTAAAACCTACTCTTATCAATTTTAGGACCAATTATGGATCTTAAACGTGTGCAACTTGCACATAGGACCTCAGATAATTTTTCGCCCTTATCCAAGAAGGCTAGGTCTTAGATCTTTTCTACCATAAGATCAGGGTTGTGGCTGAAAGACAGCAGTAAGAAGTAGCCAAGAAGTAGTAGTAGAAAGGCAGCAGAGCGAGCCTGGAACCCAAAGGTGAAAGTGGATACAAAAGCAGACAACAGATCATAATTAGATCTAGAGAGAGAGCATGAAAGGTGAAAGGGGAAAACCAGGACCTATTGAATGAAAGGCAAACATCATACCTCTAGACCATGAGAGCCGCCCGCCCCAAGTGTGTTTTCAACACAAAAAGAAACAATAATCTGTGACAGGCATATAATATGTACAGTTTTATCATGAATAAGTTATACTAACAGAAAAATGGATAAAAGATGACAACTTGAATTTTCATTCTAACACAGACATTTGTACTATACTCGAGAAAACATAAATTATGCACTAACACTGGAAAGAGTTTTTGAGTGGAATGGCACCTAAAAGTTTCATTTGGACAATAATTTGTATTATTCAAAGTGTATACTCACAATATCTTTTGCATCCACTCGAGTTCCAACAATCTTCAGTCTAATTTCATCTTCTTCTTGTATCACCATGTCCTTTAAGGGAAAGAGAAAAAGGTATCTTACTAAAACAGTAGTCCGAATTATATCTTTTATACATCCAATTGACCCCTTTGTTGCCTTATGGTGTGCCTGGGTTGTCACCAAAATGCAGAAATTTCAGCTTTGTGCCATATTACAGATTTCTCTTAAGTTGGCAATATTTGCAGTTCCTGGTTGCCTGTAAGACATTTCAAATGTGTCCCTTTAATCACCTGGCTCTAAGATTTCTGTGAGGAGACTTGGCCAAAAATACAGTTTGGATTCATATTCGAGATTTTAAATGAGCATATTGGTACCAAATTTGCTGTTTGTTTACTGCTAGGATAGCAGGCGATAGATAAACACAGGTCTAGCCTTATGGATAATTGTGAGCTATCGCAAAACGTTAACACCAAATTGACTTTAAAAAGGGAAAAAGTTTCACTTGTTTGACTTAGATTTGCAAGTTTCTCAAAATAATGGGTAAGATGGGGAACATAGCAAATGATGAAAGTGACACATGAAGACCTGGAGCCCAGAAAAGATGCCATGAGTAGGCTAGATCCAGACAGCGAGTCCACCAACACTGAGACATGAGACTGCTGTCCTGGATAACGAGCTTAGCTGAAAATCTGCACTGATAGTACAAATGCACACACCTGGCAAAGAAGGAGTAAAAAATTTTTTTTTTTTAACAAAGTCCCCTATGTTCAGTTGGTATCACACTCCAGGTTGCCACTTGCTTCAGAATTGCTCTCAGCCAAATGTATTTAAGGGAAATAAGCTATCGAGAGCAGAGACCAGGTATATCTTTTTAAAGGTGTTACTTCAACCAGGTATCTCTAATTTCTGACATTTTCTGTGTTCTGAAAATGACAAAGCCTAAAGCCTATTAACTTAGGTGGCACACATGATAATGCTTTTCAGAGCTGAAACAAAAAAGGAGAAGAACTTGAAATCAAAATATCTGCCTCAAAGCTATGTTTTCAAACAATTACCTCATCCTTTGTTTTGTAGCATGGTGGATTTGAGCTTGGGTCAAATTCCATATCAGCTGGAATAGACTGAGAAAGAAAAAGAAAAATTTTTTCATAGAAAATAAATACAAACAGAAAATATAATTCCACATAATTTGGTGTGCGATGGTGAGTAGACAAGATGTAAAAAGAGAATAAAAGAGATCAATAACAGGAGATCAAAAGTCAAAGCACGGGTACTCCCTAACTTTCCACCCAAATAACTTTCTTTACAATATATACAACTTGTAGCTTTTTAAGTAATAAACTTGAACCACAGTTGAAAACACATACACAACTGCAGCAAACTTCTCGCTACTGAGAAAAATGACCTTTTAATTATTATAAAGACCAAATTCTTAACAACTATCTATTGTTAAAATAAAAGCTACAAAACTTGGATCTTTCACTTCAAAAAAGTTTTACTCAAAGTGCAAATTAATGATATGCTCATTTATTCATAACTAGAAAGTCAACTACAAAAAAAGAATCTCAATTTTTCACGGTGGATGAGTCGGCACAACACAAAGTTTAATAAAAGTTCCTTACGTGGCGTGAGATGAAACATGAAAGAGGTCCAATCTCTGTGAACAACCCAACCTGTGGAAAGGAAAGAAGTGTGTTCTGATTCAATTATCTTCTTTCTTACTTGAAAAAAATAACATTTCTGTAAAGAGCCCAATATCCTTACTTTACCCCTTTATCCTTGAAATGACCACAAAGAAAAATTATAGAGTAAACAAAGTGTATAAAATAATAGCACTGCCAGTATCATAAAAGTATAACCCGACTTTCTAACAGCTATAAAAAAATCTGTTGCGGGAAAAAAATTGAGTACGAGAAAAGGTCAGCACATTTTGAAACATCTATTCTAAAACCAAACCTGATTGGCTTATCATCATAGATCACAACATAAATCCCTACCTTGTTGACCTGTGTGACCACAGCGTCCAGAACCTCCCCCTTGAATGGCCGGAAAACGATGGCCTTGTACTTGACTGGGTAGACCACAAAGCCTCGGCTGGGCTGGATCAAGCCAGCTCCAATGTTGTCAATCGTCGTGACCGCAATCACAAAGCCATACCTTAAGGAAGAAATGACAGGTTCCCAAGTTAAATAGACATATAATACAGTATTCCACAAGATCAAAACACAGTGGACCTATAGGATCCATAACAACAGCCTTTACTCATCAGAATGATACAATTTGAATCTATATATAATTTACGGATTGCACCGCACTATGAACATTTTAAGGTGACTTACTTTTTCTGGACTATGTGAGCTGGAAAACTTGTGGTCAGGTTATTGTTTTGACTCACAAAATTACATCCAGTACATTTGCAAAATAACCCCAACAAGAAACAACTTGTACACTGTTGCAAGGTACAAAGACAGTTGAATCAAAACTAAGACTTCTTTTTGCCACAGATACATCTTTCCACAAAAACAGAATGGTGATGAGAACAGTTGTTGCCACCTTCACTAAGGGATGTAATTGCTCAACTAGAAGCCCCCATTATGCCACCCAGGTTTGGACTCTTCTTTATCGTTGCTATTTAACCAAATATGGATTCAACGAGACATCAGATTCAGCATGGTTGGTCCAAACGATCTTGTTGTATCTGAGGTTCACTGTAGAAGATATTACCTGCAATAACAATGAGAGACAAAAATGGAAAAAGGAAATGTCCTACTTACTTCCCTGTGCATGTTCCCTCTACCTCTGTGAACAGCTTCTGTTTGACGATGTTTAAAAGGTTGGGCCCAAAATATCGTGGATGGAGCAAGATGTCATGCTCGAGAGACACCTGAAACAAAAAGTTCACGGATTATTATTCACACAATCGTTTCTTGGGCAATGAGTGAAGATCAAGCTGATACTGTGCAGGGACAGAGAAAGATAAGAAACACAACTACTGCACTTCTGACATGCAACATTTCAAAGTAAAAGTTAAATTATAAAAAAAAAAAGAAAACGATAAGCAAACACTGAGGGAGAACAGAATGAAAGAAGGTCAGTAAATTTTACTTTTTTCAAATTCTGCCAGTCACTAAAGTAGACATTGATTCATGATTTTCAATCAACCCCTCTACTTATAAATTACTATCTCGGATTGACCACAAAAAGAAAGCTACAATAATTTTTTTTAAAAACACCAAAGGGAAGAAAGAAATTTTCTCACTGAAAAAGAAAACAGCATCTAATTTGTCAGAATAGTTCTTATTTTATCAATATTTTGAATGTCAGTGTCTGGGGGTTACGCATTTTTTTTTGGCGCCCAATTTATAATAAAATCATCTATCACAAAGCAGGGGCGACAGACTTTGTCCATTACAGCTAAAAAAGAATTGCACATAACTTCACCAAACTTTTTACGAAACAAAACAAGTGGGTCAACTGTTAGCTCGCAGCTTCCTACAGCTTCTAACCGAAAAACACTGGAGATATCGATCAATAAAGCGCATCCCGTAAGTAGACCGGATCAGGTCACCGGGGCGTCCCGTAAATACACAGGAATAGGCTCAAGTGAGTTAATCTCTTCATTTCTCTTTCTTTTTATAATTCTTTTGACATTTTACGGATTTGTTTTTTACAAAATATTACAGAAGTAAACAAAGGATTAACGATTGAAGGATCTCTCTTCATTACATGCTTTTGGGGGCCAAACATTCATATTTTGGGCTGCATTAAACATTGCAAATCATTATTGATATTGTCCAGAAAATTACAAACCTAACTCTGGTCTTGCGGGGTTAGCTAGAAGAGAGCGTTCTTATCGATAGATGACCCACTTACATCTCGCGGGAAATTACGCCATGGTGCGCTGGGGTCAGGCGAGCGTGCCGTGGGAGTCAATGGAGAAAGAACAATGAAAAACACGCCTCATCTTTTATAGCAAATTGACGCAATCTATGAATAAGTGTTACGGCTGAATGAATAATCTTATCCCCTCATCGGTTGATAAGACATAGAGAGTGGAAGTTACATCAAATCGGCATGCCTCCCTGACCTAAAAAGAATCTGGGGGTTTCATGGGGGCATGCCCCTCATGCATTTCACCATGATTTGATGTTTTGGCAAATAAGGATTGATATAAAAATTTACTTGAAAACAATTGATTTGCAAGGGTTTTAGAGGCCATATGTGTGTTCTGCAGCAATAATTATGGCAGTTAAGCTCTCAAATCAGTACATTTTGGGTGCAAAAGTAAAAATTTACCGCATAACTTTTCCAGAGTTTTCCAGATTTCACACCTGTTATGAACTTGCGAACAGCCACTTATCAGTTATCGTTCAAAAGGGGGAAAAATGGGATAGTTTCAGAATATTTTTTTCATTTAGTTGCTCTCAAATTTCTCCCTCTGGTAAGGCAACGCTTTTAAATACCATCAAGTATGATATTTGCATCAGGAAACAGCGTTTTGTGTAAAAATTAGCTCGTTTGAAAAGTGTGAAAAGGTGTTTGCATTTTAAAAAGATGAAAGTCTTAAATTTCCTGAAAACCTTTAGAGTTCTTTCAAGTGTCTAACTTGGTCAAAATGCTCATTTCATTAGATGAACATCTCTACCAACGCTTCGCGTTTCAAAAAGTTCCATAAGGGCACACAGGCACAAGTAGACTGACACACACACATTTCACTTTTTGAAGTAAAGATGCAGACCCCGCTTGAAACAAAATGTCGTTAGCCCGCGCGGGCGCAAGGACGGACTATTACTAATCCGAGACAAGCTGGGGAACGCCACGAGGGAATGCGCTTATCGGCGAACATTTATCCGCGACGAGAATCTTAAGGGTTAATTAATTACCAAGATCTTTCTATCTCTAGAGTCTAGATCAGGCCTAGATCTCTCTAGATCTAGAATAGAAGATCTTGACTCTTTGTTACTTTTTACTTTGTGGAATAGGAGTATATACAGACCCGGTAACAAACTCACAAAGTATACAGACCCGGACGGGAAATCTTTTGTGATTTCGGAAAGTTTCAGCACCCTCTTGGCTCAGCGTAGACCTAGGTTCTTCTAGATCTATGGTCTAGGTCTAGATCTCTAGACAGAAAGACATTTTCTAAATCATTGATCTAGTTTCGAGGCCTAAATCTAAATAAAGATTGTGAATGTATGTGTTTTTGATGAACGATCGTTTGTCCTCCATTTTGGAGTTGGGAAAAATCCCAATTTGAAGAAAAGAACAATGTCATTATAATTTCAATTGAGGAACACCTTCTATTTGTCAAGAAAAACTTGCTGCCTTTTCGGTTTCTTTGCTTTACACTTGATCCAGAGTCAGACTTAGAACTCATCGCGAACGTTTTGACGCCATCTTTTCAAACGAATGAAGAAGCTGAGCGCCTCGCATGAGTATCAGCTGACTTTGTCGAATCTGCACACCTGCCAACTGTAACGAATTTTTCGGGAATCTCCCGAATTTTTGTCATTTTCCCGAGCAACAAGGCTAATTTTTCTGTTTTAGAAGTATGCTTGCCAAGTTGTTATTTTCCGCGACCGTCTGTCAAAATCCGTATATCCGGGACAACAGCAATTTTTCAAGAAAGGGAGTGTATACAGACCCGGTAACCGGGAACAAAGTCACAAAGTATACAGACCCGGTAAGGGAACTCTTTTGTGATTTCGGAGAGTTTCAGCGCCCTCTTAGCTCAGGGTAGACCTAGGTTCTTCTAGATCTATGGTCTAGATTTAGATCTAGGCAGACAAACATAAATCTTTGATCTAGTTTCGCGGCTAACCTAGATCTAAATGAAGATTGCGGATGTCCTTTCGATGAACGATCGTTTTTCTTCCGTTTTGGAGTTGGAGGAATCACAATAGAAGAAAAGAACAAGTTACAATGTCATAATTTCAATCGAGCAGTCCCTCTCTCTCTCTCCTCTGTGTATCGCTCGCCTTCTCTTTTTCTTTGTTTGTCTCTGTCTTTCTTTGTCCCCACCTATTTCCCACTCTATCTTTCTCTCGTTCCCTCCTGCCACCTGGGGCATGTCATACATTTTGCTAGCACCTCACCCCTCTCTCTCTCACACACACACACACACACACTAGATTTCTACCGGGTCTGGGGGCTGAAACTTCCCGTAATCACAAAAGAGTTCCCCTACCGGGTCTGTATTAGGGATGGGCAGGTACCGGTACCCAGTACCGGTACTACCGAAGGAGGTGTCAGTACCGACACTTGGCCTCCAGTACCGGCTCTGGGAAGGAGCCGACACCAACGGTTAATACCAGCTCCAGAGCCGACGCGACGTTTTTGTTTTTTCTTACCGGGCCACGGGAAGTGTGCAGGGTGTAGGCCTAGACCTAGCAGCTGTGACGTCAGATGCACACAACGCAGCGGGTGACCTTGATACAGGACTTCAGATTCAAAATTGACAATCAAAAACGAAGTTTGCTTAAATTTATAATATGGCTTCAAATCAGGTTAGACGCGAGCCACTTTGCTTATTTTGATACGCTGATTCCGAAAATGAAATCAATTTTTAGCGGCGATAACTATTTAAAAAATTCTGCTTGCAAAGTTTAATCCCACGTGGCGGCAAACTTCAAAGGTATTTTTCGTCGCAGTTCGCCTCTCCAATTTTGACTGGTGTGTGTGTGTGTGTGTGGGGGGGGGGCTGTGCTGATCGTGGTGTGAGACGCAAGACGCGAAGTCTGTGACGTCACCTACTGATGTCACTCCCGGTACCGGTACCGGTGCCGGTACTGGCAGTTCTCGGCACCTAGTGCCGAGAAAGTACCGACACTGGATTTCAGCGGTACCACCCACCACTAGTCTGTATACTTCGTGACTTTGTTCCCGGTTACCGAGTCTGTATACACTTTGTTCAAGAAAATCCATACAAAATACGGATGGCCCGGGACAGTGGGCAGCTATGCAACAGGGGCATTTTTTTGCAAACACTTCCCCTTGTTGTCTCTCTCTCTCTCTCTCTCTCTCTCTCACACACACACACACACTACCGGGTCTGGGCGTTGAAACCACCGAAATCACAAAAGATTTCCCCTACCGGGTCTGTATACTTCGTGACTTTGTTCCCGGTTACCGGGTCTGTGTATACTGTATAGATCTAGATCTAGAAATCTAGATTCTAGATCTAGATCTAGATCTAGATCTAGATTGTAGATCTACACTTCGTTGTCATGTACATGTTAGTAGTGTAGTGTGTAGTGTGTAGACTCGAAGACACAGGAAAAACGGGAGGACTTCCGCAACGAGCGACCACTATGAGACAGAGCAGAATTGAGGGTTGGGGTTGGGGTAGGGGTAGGGGTAGGGGTAGGGTTAGGGTTAGGGTTAGGGTTAGGGTTAGGGTTTGGGTTAGGGTTAGGCCTGTTCTTTATTGTGTTTGATGGGGTGGTTGCGTTGTCGTTACGGAATTCCTTCCGGAAAAAGTTAGAAATTTAACAGGGAAACCCCTCACATTCTTTTTGCCTCAGCGGAGGATCGCCCCCCGCATTGGTCCAAAGCACAACACGTATTAAAACAAATGAAGAAGAAAACAAAATAGTGCATTTACACTTACGTGATAAAACATTTCGCTTGCTTTGTAGAATTCAAGCAAGACAAACAAACCGGAAGTATGCACCTTATGAATGAAAGACAGAGTGACGCCCCTTGAAAGTAATTTTGTGAGTTGCCGGTTGGGCCGAACAAGAAATACGGGGAAACAAGAAAAAGGCCATTACAAGGATTATTATTAGTCGTTATATTTTAGGTCTACCTATGGGTACAAGTTACACTTAATAAGTATCATTATCCCAATAAATTTGAGGATTTCCCAAAGATTAATAGCTTAATAACATTTTGAATGAGATTTAACAACGATATTCATCTGAAATATCATGGTTATTATTTCACTCTTTTTCGCCCCTTTTTTCAGTCTTGTCAGGAAATGTCTAGTGGCTAGCCCTTGGCCTGGAGAGGCCGAGCCTACCAACCATTTCCTTCCTGTGCTGTTTTTTCTCGCGCGAAGCATTTGCGAATTTGACTTTGCCCTTCGGCTTGGACCTTTTGATCTGAACTCAAATTTAATCAGTTTTTAGTAGCCTACAGTATTGGCCATCAACACAAACCAGTAGACGCTTTTGTTTTTCTTTTTTCCCCCTATTAAAATCGGAGCTCCGTCAGGTAGGCCTAATTTATTTGCTCTTTTCCTTGAAAGTTTGTAGCGCAGTTTGTGCAATTGTTGGCAAATCCCCTTTTTCAAAGGCCTATTCCTATTCATAGTCTAATTCAACCTCTTATCATGTCACCCATGTCCTCTTATACAGGTAGATTATATCAAAAGGCAATGTGGTCCGTCAAGTTGAAAATAATGGGAAATAGAGACTAAAATCCTGAGTCTCTTTGGTCTTCCATATCAATATCAAATAGAAGCCACGAGTTTTAACTGAAGAAACTAAGGTTTTTGCTCAGATTGTTGTGGTAAATTAGATTAGATCTAGATCTAGATTCTAGATCTAGATCTAGATCTAGATTCTAGATCTAGATCTAGATCTAATCTAGATCTAGATCTAAATATCTAGATTCTAGATCTAGATATTATGATCAACGTTGACATGCAACTCTTCCTGTGAATGACAAGCTAGTTTTATATGATGTGTTGCTTGAGAACCTACTTGTAACTGAGGATTTGACCTTGCAGTTCACAGTGAACTTTCTTACGATCTGTTAGAGACTGATGAGGCTCATAATATAAATAAGCCTTATGAATTTTGAAGTCTCATTCCTCATATTTGGAGACATATGCACCCCACCGCCATTTCTTCTCAAAGCCACCAGCCTCATGCTGCCTGTATGGGTTAGAAAAACGCTCTTGAACAAATGACATTTCTCTGGTGTGGCTATTGGATGGGTCTGATTCCTCTAATCTTTATGAATAGGACAAGAAATTAGGCCTGCTGAATTGCTTACAAATGGTTTATCATATAATACACAATTCATGATAGGTGTGCTCATTAGTCAAGTCTGGTATGCCCATAACGAATTAATTGCACACAATGCAAATTGATACATTAGCTCACTTATCTACTCATATATAAGAAATGAGCCTAGTCTAAAATCTCTTTTTCTTAATCTTTTTCAGCTTTGGGTAATTTTGTTTTAAGATTTGAGATGAAAATTGAGTAAATGACCTTTTGACATACATACTAGATGTATTACTTGTTGTGGGTTTATAATATGAAGCTTATGATATACATCATCTTTTCTTCATCGTATTAATTTTATGGCATTTTTTTCTGCTTCCCTCGTCAGTATCATGAATGAAAACTTCACGTTCCAACCAGAGGTTCTGGCTAATAAGTCAAGAGACAGTTCACCCCAGGACTGTCAGTTTCCCACGTTCCCCATTCTGATGAACCCTTTTGAGGAGCGTGAAGACGCTTGCACCCAGACAGATGGACACAAGAAACCAATGCCTGTGGAGCAAATATGTTACCCAAAATTTCCTTACCCGGAGGAGCTTGAGGTTGATATGATAATATGTGAAATCATTTAAGTTAGTTTGATCATTCCAACGACGAGGAAATTCTAAAGAAAATGTTTAAACGTTCAAAATGCTTCTTTAAACCTTCTAATCCGGTTTAGTCCCACCCCCCATTACCAAAAGCATACACATGAATAGTTGATGATATACTCCTATAATGCAGTTTATTTCACACTTGGTGAACCACGTATTTAGATGCATGTTCGGATCTGATTTATCATTACTTTCAATTTTTAGAAAGCAGCACAAAATCCTTCTATGTTTCCACAGTGAGCAAATATTATACTTTATAAAGGATCAGTGATCACAATTGTTGTTTATGATGTCATTCCATCTCTGAAATAAGGAGAGTTTCCTTACCAGCGTATGTGATGTAACAGTTCGATGCTTTGCTGTTGCACCCTGAAAAGCAAATTCGTTTCCCGTGTGGGAAGAGTATTAGTATTAATAATTTATTGAGTTGGTAGGAATGTTGTATCCCTCTCAGTCCTTGTTGACTCAGACACACATAGTCGAAGCCTGCTTCTTAAATGATCTAAATTGTGTTGATGGCGGCGTAAAACACTACATTAAAAAAAGACCCAGAATATTTTTGGTCTCAACCTTTTTGTTGTCATGGCATCTAGTGAAGTTATAGCAAAGATAAGTACATGTATTTATATACATTTGCATGCTGTAACTCGCAATATGGAAAGACTGAAGGGCACTGAAAGTTGGATATATACATGTAGATTCCCCATCGTTGATACGTTTCTATAATATAATGGTACAGTGTATCTAACTTTATAAAAAAAAAAGGCAGTCCAGAGCTTTGCTGTGTCATCTCTGTAGAGATCTAATGGGAACTACAGTGTATTGAAAGCACAAGTTGATTTGGGTTTAACTTCTTTTCTTGTTTAATGATTTACTATGAAGTCCTCTGTTCTTATGAGCGTTTTTAATGTTCAACAGACGCTACAAAAGCTTCCATTTTCATTGGGTCAAACTCAGATTTTGGGCTCTCCACCTCTGAGGAGAAAAACAAACCAGCATCTGCGGAACAAGACGCCAAACACTGTCAAGATACTAATGGAAAAACATAGGGAGAATGAAAGGCAAGTTCTGTATCATTGTGTTGAGACCAGAAACACCCTGGCTGGATAAACTTTTGAAGAAGGATAATGATCACTGTATGCTAGCTGTGACAGAATCAGTTCAGCTCTTTTCATTGGTATTCTTTCATCCAGTATTACCCAATTTTTTAGGTTGTTATTTTTATCGTTTTTTAAAGGGAAGGAGGAGAGGGGGGGGGGGGGGGGTTAATGTGCAAGCACTTGAAGGTAGAACTTTGTGTATATCAATGTATTTTTTTCTGAGAACCTAATTAGCATGCTACATTGGCCAAATCATGGGAAGAGTTACTCTGTAACTTACAGTGCTTCCTACTGAAGTTCTTTTCTTCCTCAGACTGCGCCACCACTCTTTGAATGAACACTTGAGGCTAATTTGCAAGAAGGTCCCAGGCTCAGCTGAAGATGGCAAAGAGACAAAGGTGAAGACCTGTGTCCTTGTTGTATAGGCCTACTGGCTGCGTCATGACGTTTATATGTTGATACGGAGTTGTCAAATATCTTTTTTTTTTGTAACCGTGAGCCTCCGGCAACTTCAGTGTTTTTGGAGTCTCGGACTCCCCCCCCCCAAAAAAAAACAACAACAACAAAACCCAAAAAACCCAAAAACAAAACAAAAACAAAAACAAACAAAAAAACAAACATGCTATGAAGGCTGTCAAAAAATCAAATTTAAATTGTGTACAAAATTGCAATATTATGTTATAAATGTGTCAATGACAAAGCTCCCACATATCTTAGTGATCTCATTCAGATTTATATTCCATCTAGGTCACTAAGATCAGGCGATCAGTATCTTTTTAGAGTTCCTAGAAAAGGAAGTTAAAAATTAGCTGAAAGATCGTTTGCCCACCTTGCTCCATCAGTATGGAACTCTCTTCCCCAACCCTTGAGACATACAATATCTGAGTCTAAATTTAAAATATCTTTAAAGACATCATTTTTTATATCAGTAGGTTCATGTTCAGTACAATGTTATGTAAATGACTATGTATCCATTTATGTATTTTGCGAATTGCATTGTGTATATTATTTTATGTATGTGCTAATTTCGTAACGATGTGTAAGCGTGCGCGTGTGATAAACAAGTAGACGTGTGTGTGTGTGTGTCTGTGTGTGTCTGTGTGTGTGTGCGTGTGTTTGGCGTGCACGTGTGTGCACGTGTGTGCGTGAGTGTGTGTGTTTGTGTCTGTGTGTGTACGTGCCTGTGTGGATATTGTTCGTACATTTATGTGAAGCGGCCACCTAGAGCTGTGTTCACACGGGAGTGGGGCGCTATAGAAATAGTCATCATCATCATTATTATTATTATTATTATTATTATTATTATTATTATTATTATTATTATTATTATTATTATTATCATTATTACAAAGAACTGCAAATATTCATATTCTCCAAAAGTAGACTTTTTAATCCTTTCTTTCTTTTGCTTGTTTTTTTGTGTTTCTCTTTCTTCACTTTCTATTGAAAATGTTAATGCTCTATACAAACTTGATGTCTTAATAGAAATATTACAGCTTTTCAAGATGATTCTAAGGTACACGAACAATTTTCAGTGACTTCACCTACCGCATTTTTGCAATTTGCTTGACCGACAGATTTAGTTGGAAACCGTGTCAAAAGTTTGTAACGTTTTAAATTATTATTCTGAATAAAATTCATTCCGTGTGCGTGTGTTGTCAGGTTGTGATGATGCAGCGTATCATCAGCTACATGGCCTACCTGGAGAACACTGTACGCTTCATGTGTTCTGAGCTGGGTACACAGGCAGACCCTAACCTCCTGCTCCTCACCTCCAGTGTACAAGACATTGAACAAGCAGGTCAGATGCTGTAGAGTAGCAAGGTCAAACTCCGTATTTTCTTGTTCGTTTGTATGTCTTGGCAAAGAGAAGCTCATATACACAATGACGATCAATTAGTGAGTTTTAGTTTAGTTTTAGTAGAGGTTTTACGGCGCTCGCAACTGCATGAGGTCATATGAGCGCCTGAAGATTAGAGATGTTACAAGAGAGTAACAAACATAAAAAAGAAGAGGGGAGATAAGGGCGATAGATGTTTTATAGGGAAGAAGAAGCAAACCACACCAGAGCACCCGCCAACCACCCACATCAATTAGTGAAGAGAAAAAGTAAGACAGACCGAAAAAAAAGCTGAGAACGAAGAAAGAAAGGAAGAGGATCTTATTTATTTTCACTCCACAGCTACCCGCCTACTATTTTCTGTCTTTGTCTTATTGTTGAGCTTAATGGATGATGATGATAATGCCACTGTATGTGCTAGCCGTCGATGTGTGTTACAAAAAGTTGAGCCACACGTCCAAACTAACTCTTTTATTAGTCTCTAGACTTTTAACCTGTTATTAAATCATTTGCTTGTATATGCTGTCAGTATGTGGCAGGTGTTGAACAATGTACTCTCGATAACTAATTTTTAAGTCTGTATATGTGACTTATTGTGATTTTCTAGTTTCATCTATTCATTCTTTAACCTGCTTCATTATTTTTCTCTTTCAGGCACGTGGAATAGAGAGTTCGTGACCTTCAGTTCCGATGATAGCGTGAGTATCTTGTTAAACTGTCTGTATTTTTATTCCTGCTCCCCTTTTACTTTTAGTCTTGCAGTATTACATTTTTTTCTCTGCTTTGTTGTTATTTTACAGAAGTATATGGCACACTATGAGGAGCACTGGAATATACAGAAAAGAAAAATAACTGTTAATGATTATGTCGGGAGATTTTTGTCTCACGCCCTTTGTTCAAGTTGTTAGTTGTCATTGTCAGGACACATGGCTTTAACTCTCAAAAGTTGGAGTCATGAATTGTCTGTCAGGACTTGATTTTTGACTTTTTGAGGTGACTCTTTTAGGATTGTTATCTTGTTGATTTGGAGAGGGGGAAGGTTGATTTAAAGATTAAGGGATATGACCCCCCAAAAAATTTAAGATTCAAGGTTTAGTGCATGCCTGAATCGTTTTGATAACTTAAACAAAAGTTCACTTGGACACAGTGAGGTTACTGCAGAACGGCTATACCCGGAGAACATGGTCTGGAGTTACTTTAGCAAAGATAATATAATATGAGACATCTCTTTTGTCTTTGTGGCAGTTTCGAGTTACTTTAGCAAAGATGATATATGAGAAATCTCTTGTGACTTTGTGGCAGCTTCATGCCTTGGCGTGACCACAGTATACATGTACATGTTTTAGCTTCTATCTATCAGAACAAATTCCTTTAAAACTGGCCCCACAAGTGAAGAGAATTCACTCATGGCCACGGTTGGCTCCTTTAGTCTCGTCTAGTGACCACCAAACTATGGCCTGCAAGGTTGGTTGCCTAATTACCATGCGGGAAAAATATTTGGAAGATGTTTGCAGCGTGATCAGGTCTTGGTCATCAAAATAATTTAACCATCTCATTGAACTCTGCAGTCCAAATTAAACATGATGGAATATAATTTCATAACTTCTAGCTAATGTATCACGCTCTTGCTAATCCTTTATGATATAACTCTTTCAATTAGTTATGCATTCATTGTATTGTACATTTAACAAAATAGTTATCCGGCCCTCTTTGACAAAAGTTTGTTTACCCATGCTCTAGTCCCTTTCGTAATTTTATGTTCTCAAAGTAGAATGCGTCACACTGTCATCATTTCCACTTGTCGCTTCGGGGCATTTTGGGGGGCAGATTCCTCTTCTTGTATTATTACTATTATCATGTCCCCGCCTTTCTTCGACGATTGTTCTTGGAATTTCAGCACCTTGATTTAGATAATTAGTGTTTTTCGTGTCCTTTTGTAGTCTGTTTTCTAACTTGTGCTGCAATCCAATGGTTAAGTGCACAACTCTGGTTTAGTGTCGTTCTTTTATAACATAAAATAAAGGATATAGCAAGTGGTTTAAATTTTGGTTTACTTTTACTATTGTATTGGTTTTTTTTTGTTCTCTCAAGTATAACCACATGGTGCAGGGACTTTGTGAAATTAGTACATTAGAATAAGATTTCTTTTTGTGTTGAAAAAATAAAGAATGGTGCAGGGAAGTACATCGTTTTTTAAATGTTTGTTCTCTTTTCCTTGTACATTTTTTTCCTGTTGTGTGTGAACCCAGAAGGACAGTGAAGTGTCCGTACCCAGTCTTTCACGACGTCTGAAACTGTCGTCCCCGACAATCGACTCGACCACGGATTCACTGACGGGAAGCTCGGACCTGAGAGTGTCAGGGTATTACGAATCTGGTCTGAATGATGATTCCCAGGATTCGGCCGTCCCGTCATCCAACTATTCTGTGGAGGTGAATGATTCAGTGGATGGTCCCTTTCCCGATTTTGTCCTGCCCTCTGAAGAAATTGTGATCGGAGAACCAGGTAAAAAAGATATTATATTTGTGTGTTTGTTTCGTCAATGATTTTAAGATAAGATTAATTTATACTTATAAAATGATAATAATTTTAAGTCCTCAACTGTATGAAACTACATCGTCTGATATTTGCAGTTGCCTAACTAGAAATAGAAAAGAATATATTATGTAATCTGGACTTTTTCTTTCACTTGTAATTGCCAGCTCTTGTTCTTATTGCTCTTGGTGTGACATTCACGTGGACAAGAGCTAATGTTTCATACGTTCCTATTGCTTTTTTTTTCTTCCGAGATTGCTATTTTCCCCGAACTTCTAGGTGCTTCTCACTTTGTTGGTAGTGGTGGAAGTATATTGTGCAGCACTTTTCTCCTCCTTTCTCGCTTCTTCTATTTTAAAGGTGCTTGCAAAAAGAAACGGGGCATTAAAAAAACATTCTTGCAGATTTTGTTTTCTTTTATTATTTTCAGGAAATCTGGATACTTTCCTTGGTGACACTCAGTATGACAATGCTATGTTTGAACTTCCTTCCTCGACGTTTGAAGTGAGTACAATGTCATATCTCACATCTCCATTTTTTCTGTACGATGGAAGTGGGCTATTTTTTAGTCTGGACTCTTCCCCAAAAATATTTTTCTTACTTTGGTTTAGTTTTAGTTTTGGCAAGAAAAGATATGTCACTGGCTGCAAACTCAAGGTCTCAATGGCACAGTGACCTAGATTACGGTATGTTATAAAGCTAATGGCTTTGTTTAGAAAAGAGCATAGATTTGATGTGCCAATTTAAAGGGGGTATGATGTTTTATGTGAATTTAATTAGTCTTTTTCTTTTTGTTAAATGGCGTTTATATTGATCTAAAATGGGTAGAGAAAAATATATATGAGGAAAGAAGTAGATGAGGAGTAGCAAGCTGCATGATTCAGGCACCTTATTCGTCGGGGGTAAGCTTGATTCTGATGTCTTTTAGAATGAATGTGAACATGTCATCTTGAAATCAAAATGAGTTATGTTTCGATGGATCTGTTTGTAGGTGATGGACGTCCCAGAAGTGAAGTGGCTCGGCAGCCCAGATTTGTCTCCGAACATGTCTCAGGTAGGCCAGTATGCCCTGGTTTGATGTCCTCGCAGTGTGCTAGTTAACAAGGATTGGTCATATCAGAATATGGAGTTCATAATTTGTAGAACTTTTGTTTGGTGTTTTTTTCACCCCCCCCCCTTTAAGTTTTTAAAGTGCTCTTATCTGAACAGCGTATGCATGCTACAGCTGTTTCACATGCATCTCTACACTCGGTGATACGTGCTTAGAGATTAACACCCCCCTCCCTCCGTTCCGTTTTTGTTTCAGGTAAAGCAGGATGTGGGTATCAAGTGTGACCACAGCCTAATGCAAGATCAGCCAAACGACCTGATGAACACACTCACCACTGTGTCGCCTGACCAGATTCTTCCACTAGCTACGATCAAGCAGGAACTGAAAGAACAAATGGAACAGGTAACCCATGGCGTTTTCTGGCTGCGCTGCGCTAATAACTTTTTTTGGTTAGGAATGCGTGTTTCTTTTTCTCATGCATTTGTATTCATTGTTGCCTTGGTTAGTAGTATGTATAGTATAAGGTTTTACGGCGCTCGTGCCTTGGTTATGTATGTTAGTCTCACGTATGGTGTTGAAGAATAAAGACATGAAAGAACATGTTTGAATTTCTCTGCTGACGAGTTCAATAATTCTCCTGTTCTTCTTTCTCTCTCTGCAAGATTCTGTACAGCGCCTTTTAGATTGTTGTACTGGCAAAGGTGATATGTAAGCTTCACAAATTTTCAAAAAAATACTTTTGTTTTTTTTAAGGTTTCTGAGCAGGTGGTTCCTGAATTCACTCCACATGCCGTCTCTGAGGTGAATGTACCTGTGCAGATTGATGTGCAGTCGTCATCTCGTGTCAAAAAACGAAAACAGATGAGTCCTAAGAGAACCGCACTGGTCAACGTCACCAACTGGATGGAGATCCTTGGAGAAGTCGCCCACCAGGGAGCTGGTGTGCCGGGATGGGTGGTGTATGATCGAAATGAAGCAGGTAGCTGCAGTTTATTTTTATCACAATACCGCTGTCATTGGTAGGTGAAGGTGTTGGAAGCTGTGCTGTTGCTACATAAGTTGTATGGGTAAATTTCTGGTGAAAAAATACTCGACTTATAAGCAAGGAAGGAAGAATAAAGTGAAAGACAGGGATAAAAAGGCTTAAACAGCACCAAAGGACGGGTGGTTGGTGACTATAAATAAATCATCAATGGCTCAGTTCGATTGTCTGTGTTTCTGTGTTTTGAGAAGAGACTAGAAGTTGAAGCAACGTGATGACGGGTATTTAATTGTAGGACAAGACGGAAAACTACATTGGGCAAAGAAGAAGATGATACCTTCCAATCACCCAAAAAGTAAAGTTCAGACAATCCAGTATGATAAAAAGGAAAGTATTCTTTGTTATGTACCCGAAGACTCCTGTATGACGGGGATATACATGTTCCAGCAGGAGACGTTTCCTGCTTTAAAAAATTTTCTGGCTTGCCATTTGTTCGGTATTATATACTTTCTTACATTTAATGTCAAGGAAAGAATTCCACAATTTTTCTGTTTGTTTTTGCTTGCACTGAAGTCCTTCAAAGTTTTCAGGCTTTGTTGTTAACAGCCACTTTTATCCTTTTATATAAAAGGGTATTGCCATGTCGGAATGAATAGTTGTCATGGCTATAATTATTAGTAAAACTCTCTATTTAAAATTTTGTCATTGAAGGAAATAGATACAAGTAGTTCTGAGGGGAAAAATTGTTGCTGGCACAGGCTGTTGTTTGAAGAGTTAAGGTGCCACAGGAATAGCTAATTAAATTTCCATAAAATCCCCAGCTCTGGGGGGTTGTGCATGGCATGTTTAAACGTCTTGAGAAATTGCTTCAACCCAAGTTTTTGTTAGGACTGTTCATGTATAATATGCTTACTCAGTATTCTTGCCAGCTATATATTAATGTCCAATGATGTAAATCGTTGGAACCTACTTGTGTATTTTGTAGTTTCTGAAGGGAATTCTGCAAAGCTATGTTAATATGGAAAGGGGTCACAGCTGTTCAGAGAAAAAATATGTGTTTCTGTTATGAAGGCATGGTTTTATCCATGGGATGTGATGTGTCGTGTAATGGGGAATTCCAGACGCACAGCACTTGTACACCCTACAATCTGTTTGACATTGAACTTTGAGAAAAATGTTCTTTATTATGTTTATGTTTTCAGTGTGTTTGTTTTTTTCCCTCCCATTTCTATACTCAACACTTAACTCATTTTTATTTGATTTGTCTGTTTTCCTATTTCCAATCCTTCATCTCTACCAAAATGAGAATTTTGAAATGGAACGCAAAATTTTAAAAATCTTGGAAATAAATGCCATTACCTGCGTTGGAAAGTTCTACAGTGATGCAAATTGAAATTGTTGCGGATATATTAAAAAAAAATAATTTAGATAGGAATTTCCCAAAATATGCAGCTCACGCTGAAATTTATAAAGTTTGGTGTGGAATTTCACTACCTTCCCCATACTATCTTTAAGATTGCACTTTTAGATGATTCAGTGACAAAGGTTTAATTTTTGAAAGTTTGATGTGGCAGTTATTCCCATTTTAGATGTTGATACTCATGTGTACGTGTATTAAGATTTTTTTTTTAGTGTTTTATATTTTAGCGTTTTCTTGAAGTACAATTCTTTTTCTGTCTAGCACTGGCACAAGGAAGCACTCCCTTCATTGTTGGAAACTTTGAAGAAGTTGTATCTTCGGAGTCTGTTTCATCATCCAAGACAAACCCCAGAGATGAGCCAATGTAAGTGTTGCTGTTCCTCTGTGTGTTTCTAATACTTTACGTTGCCTTCAGTCAAATGCCGTTATACCACCAAGTGTGGGACGAGCATGAAGTTGGTGGTATAGCTGGGCTGGTGGTACAGTTATAAATTATACTATTTTCTGGTTAAATAGCACCGAATGTCCACCAAAGTCAAGAGAAATTGTTCTGCCGTGACTAGTGTCGCGTGCGTGAATGTTGTTCGTGCATGATGTAAAGCGCCCAGAGCTGTGTTTACACGGGAGTGGGCGCGAAAGAAATGATCTTCATTATTAATATTATTATTTTTATTATTACATTTCATTGCCGACTTGGTGGGCTTACATCCTTTTTTCTGTCCTTCTTTATCCTTGAATCTTATTCCCTTTTCATCTGTATTATAAAAGATTAGTCATTGGGTCTGTCGGCATTCTTTTGAAGAGTTAAAATTGTTCAATATCATTAGAATGTAGTCTTATATATAATAAGATTCAAACGAAAATTTTCAATCTATACACTCTCGATTTTGAGCCAAAGAACCGCTCAGCGTTTTAATTATTTAGTTGGTTTTCATTTTTTATAGTTTAATTTTTAATACCAAGTCTCCCTTTTATGTTTGGTATATATAAAATTATGAACATTTGCTTTGCCTTGAAAGTAAAATATTTTGTCTTTATGTTAAGCTGCTTTCTTGTGTTAATGGTTCTAGATATATTCAGCCTTTCATATGGGCCAAGGATATTATTGATTCTTTCTTTGAGAAAGAAAAGAATTTGATACTCTTCCATGAGTACTTTAATATGCTATTGTAAATTTTGTAATATACATGTACTATTCCCCTTTGAACTCCTGTGTTGAAACTGTCTTCAGAACCAAGAGTGAGTTGGTCCAAGCATCAAACTCCATAATCAGAGAAGCTTCGGTGACATCTTCTAAGCTTGATCTGAGAAAGTCTTCATGGATGAATGGATTCATGATGTACAGCCGTTTGCATAGGAAGCGGTTCATTAGGTTTGCATTTATATAAGTTCTACTTTGTGTTAAAATTTGAACAAACTAGCTGAGTTATCTAAGAAGATAGAATCTGTTCCTAGTGTTCGTGTCATTTTTTTGTGGTACGATTTTCTTCTGTCTTCTGGGTAAGAAAGGTATTCGGCGAGATAGCAAATAAACGTCCTCCCTTGAGCTTGATAGTGTATTCAAAGCTGGGCTTGCACATATATATATATATATATGTATTATATTGGCCCTGACAGGCAGGGATGAAATAGTCTGTCTCTTTAGTTATACAAATTGCGTCAAAGCAGTTGAAAAAACAGCCACAATCGTCTACGGATGAGTTGATGTCGTCGGAGGATTGAAAAAAACAGTCAACTCATCCGAAATTCAACTGAACCGTCAGAACCTGTGGGGCCCGAAAAAAAATCAACTTAACCGAAGATCAACTCAAGCAAGTTCAGCACAATAAACGGAGTCGACTGTTCAACCATTTCTGGAAGGGTTTTTTGAGGGTGGTTGGCAACCATTATAGGGTTTTGATTTTAATTGTGTTGGTTAAAATAGCTCACCATATTTCTTTTGAATGATAAGCATTTTTACTTGAGAGATGCAGCTGGTGACTGCTCAGGTTGAACAGATTATGATGATAGGGCTGACATCGTTTTGCGTTTTAGCTGGATTTCACTTGACCCTTGCGTTACAAAAGCCTTGTATATAATGGTAAGATGTAAATTTAGTGTCCCTTTCACAAATGTTAATTCATTTTTTAGAAGATGGACACCCTGTTTTAATATTTTGTCTGTAACAAGACAAAGCCAGAAGGATATGAAAAGTCATGAAAACTCAAGAAGCCCACTGTCAAGAGTTCCTTGTGAGGGACTTGAACTTAACAGCAGCTGTCAGCATCAGTCCAGAAGTATATATGCCCATTCATGTGAGTTAAAGGATCGGTCCAAAATAGGACTTTAAACTTTAAAGAACCTTCAACAGGGTGGAGTGAGGTTATAAGACCCCTTCTGAATTGCGCAAATTGATTTTTCGGTCTTTTCTTCTTTTTTTTTAGATGCCTGTATAATACATTTTAATATGGTATTGATAAAGCTCTAAAATCTATGTCAGAGAGAACCCTGGCATTCACACGTCTGTCATCAGCAAGATGATGGGACAGGCCTGGAGGGCAATGACAAGTGAGCAACAGGGACCCTATCGGTGAGTGATCGGTCACGCAAATTCAATCCTTTTCATCCCTTGGGGAACGTGATAGTGCCAGTTTATTTAAAGTCTACTTAAATGGACGTCAGGGTGTGTAAGTGATTTTGCATAATATACCACCAATACCAGTTTCTCAGCGGACATATATACCTCATGTATAGTATAGAGGAAGATCTGTAAATTGAATATTCAGTGATGTTTGATCCAATTACTTCCCTAACTTGAGAGGGGTTTATTGTTGTCTTGTGGCTTTTGTGTTTGATTAACTCTTTATGTATGGGCATAGCAAACACGTTCGACCAGCAGCTTACCAAAGGCAATGTTGCGACACATTTGAACCATCAACAACTAAACAAGAATTTGTACATTTCTGAGTAGGTGTCTATGCAGTTTATTATCTGCCTTTTAAATTTTAAGAAAAAGAACAACAAGTTAAAAATCTGTATGGACAATGAAGTTACGCTCCTTCCAAGTGCTCCAAAACAGTACACCCAGAATGGCCATCCTCAATGAGTTAGATCATCAAAGAGATACAAATAAATCTCTTTTGATTCCCCCTCCCTCAAGTTTGATTTTTAAAATTGTGCCTGTAACACATACTGAAGTCTTAAGTTCTTAACTGTTCCTGCATGTGGGAAGAATTGCCTCTGACTGTACCTCCCGGTATGCCCTATGATTTGGATCTTAAATTTTTTTCATCATTCAGAAAGTTGTAATATAATTATTTTAAAATCCCATTTTCCGAATACCTCTGAAATAAGATTTTTTGTGTGTTGTAGTTGTAGTATTTAGCACCTGTTTGTCCATTTTTATTTCAAGCATGTCATATTGCACTCCATAAGAAAACCGTCTTGATACAATTTGTGCAAAATTTAATTATTAGACAATAAAAAATGATTAATTGGCACCTCTGATAAATATAACTCACCCCTTATTCTAATGTGTTTTCATTTCTCAAAGACTAAGCTTGTCTCCTCTCACCTCTCTGAACTATTATGCAGAGGATAGGGTTTCTTTTTCCTTTTTCACACACAGGTCAATTCTCTACTTAGTATTGGCCACTGACTCTTGTTTGGGCGCTCTGTTAGCTTATTCAGTTGGTGTCATGCTGGACAATGTGGGGTTGGCTCTGGTTCACATCCCCGAAAGGGTGTTCTTTAACTTAAGTTGTTTTGAAGTGTTTTAAAATGCTTTGCACTCACTTGCCCTGGTCCTATCAGAGATGGACGTCATATTCGGAGGACCCACTAAAACCTCACACTGTTGAAATTGAAAGGGTGTTTAAAATAAATGTATACCACGGCACCTGCTTTGAATTAATTTTTATTTTGTAAATTAAAAAAAAAACTTTTTAAAAAAGCATTCCCTCTATTATTTTTCTCCTTTCCTAACTTTCCCATTTCTAGCGAACAAGCAAGAATTTGCTCCCAAGAGTTGCAGCGCCAGTTGGATGAAGCTCGACATACTTAAAGTACAGATGGTTGGTCTTGGCAATGTGTTATCAAAGCTTTGTGGTAATATTCTGTACATGTAATGCTTTCATTTTTCTATTTCGATGTTACATTCATTGCTCCAGTGAATGGGCTACAATTTTTTCCCATGTCTTTGTAAAGATGTAGTACTTTTGTGTTTTTTATAATTTTATCCTAACCTTTTTTTCTGAAAAGTAAAAATTGTACTTGAACTGGCCTGCAGTGGAGTTTCAACTCATGTGTATTGCAGCAAATCTCATACAATGTGCAGAAAAGTTTCTGTAAAAGTGACAATAATTAATGTTTATTTTTCTAAAAAACATTTAGCAGATTTTTGACACAATTGAATACATGTACATGACAACCTGCAGGCACTTGCAAACACAGCCTTTCAGTGACGGATTGTGAACTGATAATTCTTTATTTTAAAGTTTCAATTTTTTTAAACCCTAAAATAAGGCAATTTTCCCTTATAAAATCTTTTATAGCCTATAAACATTTGTTCGACTATAAGTTTAGGAAAAATCCCAATAATTAATGTTAATTTCTTTGAGATTTGAATATAATATATATGCATTATATTTGAATCAAAAGCTCTATGGACAAAAATGTCCTTCATAGGTTCTCTTTTTAAAAATTGAGCCAAAGAAAGAAGGTTTCATAGATTTGAGAGAAGTTATTTAAGATGCTCATGGTAGGATTTATTTTGTAGTTTATAAGTGCGATTTTTAACTGATTTTACATAATTCCTAAATGTTTGAATGTCAATTATGAATATTTTTAAATGATTTGTTTAATTCTTTTCAAAATTTAAGATTTTATTATTCCTGAATGTGAACATGGATATTGTCAAATGTCTGATTTGCCTATTCTTTTCAATATTTGTCAGTTTAGTATCAATAATTATTTGATGAAATTTTTTCTCCTTTACTTAACTTTTAGTTATTAGTGAAGGTGGAACATTAAAATTATATTTTTTTTTCCTTTGTAGAAATTCGGATCTAAAGTAAGTCTTACCCTTACACCCATTTATGAAAGATGACAAGAGATATTGTTTAGATTATCTGTTAGGAACATATATTGGCTTCTTGTAAGCTTGGCATAATCTGACTTTTGTAGTTCACTAGGCACCATTAACAAATAAGTTGACTGTTGCAATCTTACTAAATATTGTACCGTATAGAGTTATTTGTTTGACTTCAGAACTTACCCTCAGTTCACGAATATGAGTACAATTTGAGAAGTTGAGCTCTGACTTTTCTATTCTTGTTTAGATAGGAGATACGGAAAGCGCTTGAACATGACACTTTGTCCATTTTTCCATCATGAATAAACATTTTTTCTTATTAATTTTTATCTTTGTTGTCTTGATTATTTAACCTGTCATGAGTGACAGAAAGTGGGGTGTTTTGACCATACATGTTTTCTAATTGTTTTGAAAATTTTGCTGTTTCTGGGTACTTTTGTTTTTGTTTGTCTTAACAAAATACAATTTCTGTCCCCCAGTCAAAATGCAACCCGAAAACTGCCATCAACATTTACTGGACAAACCAAAGATTTGTTACCCTTTCTTCTATCAATCAAAATTGCCTATCGCCCCCTTGCTCTGCCCATACAATGTGAAACTGATGGTGGATAAACCTCTTTTCAAAGAACATTTTAGAATTAAATTTTTATTCATTTCGGCTTCGTTTTGAGTGGCCAAATAAATACCATAGAGTAAAAGTAAAAATAAAATAAAGACTAAATCAGTTAAAAAAAGTAAGTAACGCCCATATTTAAGCTGGACTAAAGAAGAACTGTGTACCAGACTATCCCACACATCATTTTGGAACACCCTGCATAAGAAATATCATAGGACTGGATGGGTAAAAACAAGTACTGGCATTGCCACAAACGTTTAAAGTCTACTGTACAGTTGCATAATGATATTTTATTTTATGTAAAAGTCAAATGGGTAAACAACAATCACTTCAGGCCATCAAACATGCAACATTCGGCCCCATCAAACAAACAATTCATATTTGAGATATCTCTCAATATTTTTCCTCTCATAAGCTTTGTCATTTCAATTAAAAGTGAATGGAAAAGCCATGTGGATAAATGTGGATGAAAAAAAGAAAATGCCAAACATTATGAAAAAAAGGCCAGTGAAATTGGAAGCAACATATTCATCTGAGTGTTGTATCTGCTTTCTACTCTGCAACCAACTTTGAAGAGTACAGGCATTTGCTCTGAAAACCGTTACTGAACTTACTGCAAAATAATTGCACCTCAGAGCAGACGTACATAGGCTGTGGTCATATTAGAGTAACACTAGTAACAACAGTGTAATATCTTGCGAAGAAATTGGACAGCAACAGCAGGACAAGGTACCGTTAACATCCCAAGTTAGCAGCACAACTATCATAACGTGAGTTTTTCAAATTTTAAGATAGGAACAAAAAGCTGATTTTTCACCACATATCCATCAACAGTATTAGATTTAAATTTGACCAATATTTTCACTAAATAAACCCACAATTCTTGAGATTTTTACATAGCAAGCGCCCTTTCTCAGCGCTTTTGATTTTCGCCAAAATCACGAGCTACGATACTCGAGCTGCTGCCCCCCGACATGTGGTTTGATAGAGCCACCAGTAATTCCTCGTTCACCACTGTCAGTTATTCCTGGGAGCCAGTCAATGAGCTTTTTGACAACTATGAATAATTATTGTTTTACCATGGGCTTTCTTTGAATCAAACATGTGAGCCCATTAAAACCACTTTCAAGAGAAGCCCATCAAAGATAAACAATTAAAGTTTGATCTGATAGATTTTCTCTGAAGATATATGCTCTCTCATAGAAAATGAGCAAACGCTTTCTCAATTAGAAAAATTATGACTTTGGCATCAGAATGTGAGGCATGCTAACAAAAGGTTACTTTTTACATTCTGTAAATGGAGATGTCGGCTTAAAATTGACACATGGGTCTAATTTATAGATTTTCACCCAATGCCCTTTTCTTCAAATCTGACATGTCTTTTATAATTTCATAATAATAAATTGTTTTCAAGCTTCTCAAAGACACACTCATCGACAATGTCCTTCTTGTCAAACCAGGCCAAATCTATAATGTCAATTTGTCATGCTACTTCTCTAATGTATTACAAAAAAGTGTGACCCATTTGTACGGTGCCATAGAACTGACTGGTATGTGGTGAAACTGTTTTCAATGCTATCATGGTAAAACTCAGAGAAGATGAAATTCCGTTGACAAACTTAGGCCCCATCCTGACCGATTCAGCTGCTTACACATGAGAGGTGTGCACTGTGGATTTCATGCTTAAATGAAGGAAGTCGCTCCCCATCCAGTATTTTTTAAACTGATGTGGAAGGGGGGGCACAATATTTACTGAAGTCTATCAGATCAACCGTCAAAGTTCAGGGGTTGGCGAAAAATTTCACTGTGATCCCTGCTCATTTGCATGATGTATATGGAGGTGTATGCATTCACATACACAACATTTCTAAGAAATTCTTATCAACTCTTGACTATGATGCTATCTTACCACATCTCCTGGATGACATTTACTCACATAGAGACTTTGATCTCAGTGCTGATCTAAAGCAAGATCTCTTGGACATGTGTGAGCACTTAGCTGTACCTGCTACGCTTCCCTGCTAACAGATATCTTTGCTACATGCTCTACAAAGATTCTTGGAACTACTGAATCCTTTGTTCTACCTTTCATGGCTATGCCGCAGAAATTGAAGACCAGAGAGGAATTTCCTCGCCTTTCCTTGGATTCCCCGACTTCCGCGATTTGATGATGGTCGCCGTATCTGCTGAACTGCGAAATGAATGCCCTGTCCAGTTTTGCAAGCTCAAATTAACTTTTTACTGTCGGAATACAGCGGTCTCGTCAAGTCCACTTTCGACGAAGAAACAAGCAAATTGTTTAGCCAACTGTGCTGTCTTTAATGAAAAATCGCTAAGCAACATCAGGGTGGCCACTGAGCTAGCAGCGATCTCCGCCAAGCACAGAGGCTCGCCCAGCCACAGATACAACGCGAGTCGTGGCAGGTCGACACACTACTCGCGAGGCGGCTATCAAAACATGTGGTTCAGAAACCCAAGGTTGGGCTCCCGCAGCAGACAATGCTTTGGCAACAACAGGTCAAGTTTTCCTGATCGCCCCGCACAAAGCGACGAGTGGACTGGCCCCGGCCAATAACAAGGCGGACGTGCCACGAGGGGCGAGACATGAGTATTGTTTACCCCTTACGTCAAAACTTTCACAATTGGGCGGCTATAACAAACAATAACGTGATTCATGATTGGATTTTTAACGGGGTCAGGATTCCTTTCGTTGCCGTTCCTATGTCTTCGAACTCGAGAACAGACAATTCAAGTCAGGAGCATGATTTTGTGAGATCAGAAATAAAGGAGCTGTAGTCGAAAAACTGTGTGCGGATCGCCAAAGACAAACCCCATTGTGTTTCACCCCTCTCGGTGGTTCCTAAAAAGGGAGAACAAAAGTTTCGTCTTATTCACGACCTACAAAGAATCAACAATGTTTCGAAATGCCCGTCCATGGTTTAGGAAGACATTTCAACCATTATCAAGTTGTGCCAGCTAGATGACCTCCTCGTTACAATAGACATAAAAAGTGGATACCATCAAATACCCATACATGAGGAACATAGAAAATTTCTGGGGTTTGAATTTGAAGATACCTACGAGTTCTGTGTGTTACCATTTGGTCTCAGTGTATCTTGTTATGCCATTGTCAAAACTATCAGAACTGTGGTGCAGCACATTCGATAAAAACATTTCCGTAGTGTCAGCTACGTGGACGATTTTTGCCTGATTGGCAGTGCTAGCAGTAGCAGTATAGAGGACACAAAAGAGTTTGTGTTTTCTCTTCTTGCTGATCTAGGTTTCACCATAAACTGTCAGGAAATCCAGTCTGGTTGGAGACACCTTTGAAATTGGATGTAAAACCTGGAGATTCCATTGCTAACAAAGCCCTTTGTTCGTATTGCAATGATGTGATAAGCTATGGTGAAAAAGGCAAGGTTGCATTAGTAGATCATGTTCAATCTACAAAACATGTTTCTCGAGTGGAGTATAGGAAGACAAATTATACTCTTGGTGGTCAGTTCTCAAAGGAGACTCAAGAAACACCCCTTTTCCCTTTATTTAGACCTAGGTCTAATAAATCTTCTGCTGGTTCTTCTGATGAACATTCGACTTCTGAACCACCCCCAAGTCAGCCTCGTGAATACGATAGTTGTAGCTTGATCCCTGTGAGCAATTGCACTGCCAATTTAGAAGTTATGGTTTTGAGCATGATGGCAGAAAACATTTCTTTTTCTGTAGCTCCAAAACTGGTAGAATTAATTTGTGAATGCTCAAGTGACCCAAAGGCCCTAGCAGGTGTTTCCCTAGATAGATGCACAGCTGCATATAAACTGAAATACGGAGTGTCAGACTTCTTTACCAAAGGGATTATTGAAAACATGATGGCATGTCCATTTTCCTTGAACATTGATGAGGCAACATCCTCTAACAATAAAAAGGTGCTAGCTGTGTTGGTTAGTTACTACAGCCCAGTGGAAGAGCAAGTTGTAATTGAACATTTAGATTCTGTGGAACTGATTAAAACAGATGCAGAAACTATTTTCAGAGCCATCAAAAATCTCATTGACAGCAATTCAATTCCATGGAAAAATCTGCAATCTTGTCCGCTTGACTCATGCAGTGTCATGAGAGGTGCAAAATCTGGAGTTGAAGCGCGCCTCAGGAACCATGTTCCTCACCTTCTAGATATCAATGGGGACTCATGCCACCACACACATAATGCAGTGAAAATTTTTTACAAACCCTTTGATGATAGGGTAGAAAGGCTCTTTCATGATCTGAACACAGATTTTAAGTGGTCATCTGTTTCTAAGGACATTCTTGCAGAGCTCTGTGATCTCTTTAATGTGAAGTACAGTGCTCCTCAATGCTTTATTCCACACAGATGGCTTTCTGTGTATGACACCACTTTCTCAACTCTGAGATTACTAGACATGCTGAGGTTGTTCTACTTTCCATTCATCTCTTCACCCCAGACTCACAAAGATGTAATCAATGACTTCATCCATCAGTTCTACAAACCTGACAGCAAGGGTGTAATCAAAGAGCATCAGATTTTTCAGCGTTTGAAGAAAATGTTCAAAACTCTGAGCAAAGACAATTGTGACAGGAAGCAGAGGATTATAGATAGACTGTTCACACATTTCACCCAGACAAGTTTGATCTTGAACTTCTATTCTTCAGCACTGCCAATTTTAAAAGAATATGTGTGTACTTTTCAAAGTGTTGAGCCAATGGTGCACAAGATGCATGATTTTCAAGTGAGCACTACCAAGAAATTCTTGCTAGCTTCCTCAAGCCAGAGAAAATTGTGGACCTTTCTCCCAACCAGCTCCTGAAACTTGATGTTGGCAGTGTGGAAAACAACTTTGAAACTCTTCAAAGGTTATGCTGATCAAAACAGTTTTCTCATGACTGTCTCAAAGGCCTATATATGTTTTGTGCCAAACACCTCTTGACAACCCTGCCGTTTGACAAGTTCCTTGCATGCCTTTTTGCCCTTGATCCAGAAGTGCCTTGCCATTCAGTGGTAGGAAAATCTCTCAATAATCTAAAGGATTATTGTCCACACTATTTAACCCCTGTAAAAATGAATTTGCTGGCCACTGAAATCAAGGAGTATAACATCACTCCAAACACTAATACACATGAAAGAGTGGATGCATGGTGGAGCAAGCAAAAAAAGTTTCCTACACTCCAGAAGTTAGCCAGAGCATGTCTCTCCATATTTCATGGGCCACAAGTTGAAGGCTCATTCTCCAGGATGAAAGACATCATAAAGGTTAAGTCAGGCAACATGACAATGTCTACATTTTCTGCTGTCCAGACCATCAAATATTTCCTGATGTCAAGGGATACTTCTGCTGTGGACTGCTTCAAGAGAAAGGAAACCTTGCACACTGCTGTCAACCCTAACTTTGCGTGCTCTATGAAGTCTTCCCATGCCAGATACAGGAAGCAACTGAACAAAGTTAGAGAATAAAAAGAGGAGAAGAAGAGAGCTTTAGAGCAGCAAGTGCACACTCTGACAACAATTGCAAAAGCCAGAATGATCAAAGAGAGCGCCATCAAGAAGGCCTTCAAGAGACACCAGTCTTCATTGCAAGGGCCTTTCAACAAGAGAAGAAAATGTTAACAGGGGGATGCCTGTATGCCTACTCAAGTTGAAGATAATGTAAGTACAGCTATTTTAGCTTTTATCTGTCCCCTCAAGTTGTTTTAAAGATGGGAGTCTTTAATGGGAAAACTGACTTTTATATGTCACGCGACATTTTCCTCCTTTTTCACTTTTGGTCACAAACATCACTGATAATAACTTTCTTTTTGTCTCCACAAGTGACAGCACAGTGATGAATATTGATTAATTCTCATGGCAACACCCCGTTTGTAATGCAGAACATGCATGTTACAAATGTTGCATTATCAGACTATGACTGACAAATTTCTGGGTGGTAACGAAAGCAAAAGTAGATCTTGATTTTCCGGTCGAGCCTCGGTGTCACATACAATTCCGCGTGTAACGTAATCTCAGACCGGGAAAAGCTGAATTAATATCACAATCGCGATAGGCAAAAATGAATTTGATAATGACGTCATTGGATTTGGTTTTCAAATATTCAAGATCTTTTATGCATTTTCCCAGGTCTCTGTAATTTTTTTCCAATTCCCGGGGCATGGCAGACACCCTGCTCCCAGCAACTCTCTTTCTGATGGGCCCGCTGTCGCTGTAGCGGAGTTTAGCGGAGGAAATGGCAGCCCCAGCTTACTTTGACTCATTTTGTCAGCATGCCTCACAAATGAATTTAAAAAATCAAATATTACAGATGGCAAACTGTATTTTTTTAGTATCTCTGTATGAACTATGTTTAAAAGTGTTATATTAAAACCCCCCCAGCCCTTATGGATAATACTTCAAACTTACCCTTTACCTGTTTCTTCAGTAAATTACAGCCTCAATTCAAGTAAAAAATCAAAGAAACACTCAAGACAGTTTTCAGATCATGATTTCTCCCTTACCACGGCTGTACCTTCATCAGTTTCCATCTCATGTCAGAATACATGTTTGCATCTGTTCCTGTCAACACCATCAGTCAATCGTGACAAAAACAACAACAGCAAACCTCTTGGCGTTATGGTCTTCATCAGTTATATCGCTTAGCTCACGATTACACAGCAAGGGCTGTCCTAACACTGACAGCTTGGTCCACCTTCAAATTGTCTGAGCATTCCTCTCACTTCATTACCAGCATGACTGATTTCAGTAACATTTGCATGGCAGTGGGCAGTAGCAAACAACATTGTTCCACAGAATAAGGACGAGATTTTCCTTACATTTGTTTATTCTATTGTCATAGTTTTGTCTTAATTTCTTTCTCCGATGAATTCATTTCATCACTTTCTTGGCCCGCCATTCCAAGAACTGGTCGAGGTCTTCCTCCTCTAAATCGTCCCCACTGTCCTCATCCTTCTGTCCTTCTTTTGTTGTCGTCTTCAGAATGGTTTCTTTCTTCACATGGAGGTTTTCCACTTCCTGCCACCTGTGACTGGAAACGGGGAAAAAAGAAGACCATGACAATACTGACAAGAACTATTGTAACTTTTCAGTAAAAAAATTGTGCTTGGACTATGATGTTTTCAGTCAGTGAGTTCATTTTTCAGCACCTCAAACTCAAATAAATGTACACATTTTGCACAAAATAATAAAGACAAAAAATTGCAAACTAAATGTCTAAAGTAGTAACTATCCATTAAAATTGAAATTTTGCAAAGTAAATTCTATGTTTGAATTAAAATTGTTCTGATACTGATATTTCTAAAGGAGGAATGAGCACAGCTGGGTTTTCTGTGAATGTCACACATTACGAGGGTAGCAGTTAAAAAAAGTTCTCAGGGCAACAGTACAGGGAATATGAATTTGTCTGACAATCATAGAACAATTAACAGCCCTAGGTAGATTTGCTAGCTTTGAATTATGCACTTTTACACAAAATTTTAGGAGCAGTAAAGGGTGCAAAAATCAGAAAGTGATTCATGTTCATCCTTGTTCAAGATGGGGAGCAAAACTTAATTCATCCAAATTATCCCAATTTCATAAAGAGATTTGCATCATGACCACTCTCCCTATACTCCAGGGTCACATCAACTGAGGTACCACAGTATTCTTTCAGAGACAACACTCATAGACTTTTGTTTTAGTTTTAGTAAAAGTTTTACGGCACTAGCAACGCAATAAGGTCATATAAGTGCCCAAGATTACAGGTGTTACAAGAGAGTAGCAAACACAAAAAAGACGGAGGAGAGATAAGGTTGATGGATTCATAGACTTGACAACCCCTGTGACTTACATCTGGTCGTCAATCTCATCAATGTTTCTGTCCAGATTGGCCTGCTCATCCTCTTCTTCCATGATGACCTCAGAAACCTGGGGATAGAGGAAGAAAAAGTTAGACACATTCTCTAAATAACGTTATGGCAACAACAGTAGATCATTTATTAAAAGACATCAAATAGTGACAAACCGATTGTATCACCCTAATTCAAAATCACTAATTTTATCTATATCTGTGTCATGAGATTTACACCAGTGGATCATCACTTCTAAAGACAGCAAACACAGTGGAGTCCACTTAAACTTAAATCAAAATCTGAGGGGCCGCTGGATTTTCTGTGTTTTACCCATGTTTTTTGTTGCTTAACCCGTTCGTTGCCAGGGGGTAAACGTTCCTACTGTCAGCACTGGATTTTTAGCTGAGCTCGTTTCCCAAGAAGTAGCTTAAAGTCTCAGTAGTAATGGACGCACGGTCTAGATCTAGATCTATATCACTCAAGACATATTTCGGATATCGGGTCTTCGATTGTCATTTTTCTTATTCCCCATTTCCTCCCATCTTACTCATAATTTCGAATAACCTGCAAATCTAACTAAAAAAGTGAATTTGTTTGACTTTTTAAAGTCACTTCGATTTTGACGTTTTACGAGAGCACACGGCCTCCCGCAAGCCTAGATCTGTATTTATCGATTGCTTGCAAGCCTAGCAGTAAAATAATATTAGCAAATTTGGTACCAATACGCGCATCTTTTATTTCAAATATGAATCTATGCAGCGTTTGTGGCTAAAACTCTGTACAGAAGAATTAGAGCTAGGCTATTATCATGACATACATGTAACGTCACATAAACAATCAGGAGCGACAAATTTTGCCCACTTCCGTGACGTACATGGTTCAGCTCAGTGCTAAAAATTATGAATTTTCAATATGTACCAGGTAGCCTATGTCATAATGCAACGAAGGAGTTAAAGAGAAAAAATTTTATGATATACAGAAAGTATAGATTTTCAGCATTGCTCTTCACAGATTTGCCAACTCTACAGCAAAGTTATTAATTTTCAAGACTGGATTTGTAAATAGTAATGAGAACAAAGCCCACAAGTCAATTGTACTTGAGTCCCTTTCCAAAATTCTCTATTGAGCATGAAATTATTGAAAGCAGAACACAACTGTCATTTATTTATTTTTTTTTAATAGTAGAGGGTTTTACGGCGCTCGCAACTGCACAAGGTCATATGAACAGCTGTCAAGTCTTACAGAAAACAGTTGGGGGCAGTATCATGTCACCCGCCCATCTAACTCTCTAGCAATCTTTGAGATTTGAGGAAAATGGAAAGGCAGACCATGCCACCACAAATCAAACAAAAACAACCCCATACTTACATGAGCTTCTTCCTTCATGGCTCTCTGAAACAGGTCCCACTCCTCCTCCATTTTGTCTTTGTACTCCACTTTCCTGACCTGAGAATGGAGATGTGAGGGTAAGAGAATCCACAAAATGCACAGAGATAAATTTGGTATTCATAGCATAGGACACAGCAGTAAGAACCCTTGCCATGAAAAGTACGCAATAAAAAATGCAGGATTGATGATAAGACTAAATTGTGTCTATGGGTGAGTGAAAACACCTAAACTTCCTTATTCAATTTGATGAAAAGAGATGGTTTTGGGGGAAAAAAAGGTTTTATTTATTATGTATAACAAACTCTTTGGGTTAGTACAGTAAACAAACACTATGAACAAATGAGAGAAATGTTTTGCATCTTAGGCTAACTGATCTCACTCTGTGAAAATGCACTGCACAGCTCTGAAACTGAATTAGCTATTGCAAGAATGATATAATAATAATAATACATTGCATTTATAAAACACTCTTTTTTAGTTTTAGTAGAGCTTTTATGGCGCTCTCAACTGCATAAGGTCATATGAGCGCCAGAAGATTAGAGGTGTTATAAGACAGTAACAAACATAAAAAAGGAGGGGAGATAAAGATGATAGATGTTTAATAGGAAAGAAGGAGCAAACCACACCAGAGCACCCGCCAACCGCCCACATAAAACACTACCCGTACGAGTATTATAAGCTTTTATCAACAGCCTAGTCAGATTTAAAAACTCATAAAAGCAATTCATAAAAAAATATTAAGACAGATTCTAAAACAAGATAACTTTTTGGGGTCAACTTCTTGTTATCTTTTTGAGTAAGACGACCCTGTCCTTTTTCACAGTACTTTCTTCTACATACAAATACAACCATAGACTTTTGTTCCATTTACCTTAGCATCCATCTTAGGGTCATCAAAGAAGCCTTCTGGTAAAATTTCTGACATCTTCTTGTTCTGCTGGGACTCTGGTTTCTCTTCTGAGCCTGATGGCTCCTCGCCAGGGTCAAAGAAATCTGAAATAGAAAGCATAGAAAACTGAGTTTTAACGCTTCTCATCTATCCTTTTCTTCCTCCTTTGAATTGGGCAATCAGTATTTTCAGATAGGCATTGGCCTTGTAAATAATATGCATCAGCACAACAGGGCGCAAAATGTTGACTAATCGTTACCTTAGAATTACAAAGTTTGAAAAAGCTTGACATATAGTGAGACACAAAATTATTTTTAGGTCAAATTTCTCAAAACTAGATAATGAGCAGATAAAACTTTGTAATTCTAAGGTAGTGCAATACAACACAAACAGTGTTTTCTGATGCGAAGGAGCATTGCCTAATTCTAAGTTGATTACTTTTCAGTCCTTTCCTTTAAAAATAAAAGAAGGAATGAATGCATAAAGTTCATTTACCATTTACACTTCGAGTAGACCTAATATAATTTCTTTATCTTTTAATAGAAAATATATACTTCGGCGTACCTGAAGGAAGGCCCTTTTTTGATGCTGCTGCTGCTGCAGCTGCTGATGAGGAAGAATCTGGTTGTGTCTTTGTCTGACCCGTATCATCATCATTCTCATCATCATCATCATTCTCATCATCATCATCACTTTCCTCTGAAGAAGAATACCCTGCTAAAAACGCTGCTTTTGCCTTCTCTCGTGTCTCTTGGCGCTGAGCATTATCATCAAAGAAATCTGAAGGCAAACTGAAAGCACAAATCAGTTTATTATTGGAGCTGGACATTTAGTTCTAGATACAATTTAATCTATAGTAGGAACAGACAGAATATGTGCAGCAAAAACAATGCATTAAGGTAGCCTATCTAATCAGAATTATCGTAGCGTTCAAGAACATTAAATGGAATCGATCCACAGAGAAAATAACTTGCTCCCACTTCTAACAGTCTGTAGAACACACACATGACAAGCTTACAAAGACAGCTGAAAATATTTTATATTTAGACCTGATTTTCCTAATGCTCTTTCATGTGAGACGTAGCACACCGAACTTTGCACGGCTACACAAAGACACATCACTTGAGGCTGCTTGTAGCATGAATTATTTCTTTTGCTTCGAGGTTGTTAGTTTACAAATCGGTTTCATAATCCATACAGAGCAATCAAATAATGCCAAAGAGTAAATCTCCCCCATCCTCCAACCCCCCTCCCCCCAAGAGACTGTTACCTGGTTAGCCCAAATAAGATCCCATATATAAATAACAGAGCTAGTAAAACACCAGTAACAACGAAAATCAAGATATCAACACAGGAACATAAATGTATAGATTCTAACTTGTAATCAGACAAACAATTACTATATTTACCTTTTTGATTTTACAGGTTGGGCTGTTTCTGAAATGCAGATAAAATACCAGAAGTGAGGATAAATTTTAAAAAGTTGCAAAGGATAGAATAATAAGGCCTGCCCTTTATTTAACTTACAAGTAACTGCTGGTAGGATCTTCACTATCTTGTCATTACTGGAGGTGTAAGCTTTGTTCGTTTGCGTAAAAAACAGCACATCAATACAATAGCGGTCATTTATTGTAGGGAAAGAGCCAGCCAGACTGACAGGAACAACAGAGGGGAAATAAAAGAAGTAGCCACTGCTAGTGACATCCTCTTATCACCTGCTGAGGAATGTGCACTTTACAACAACTCTTAAATGTCAGGTATAAACACACAGTGACTCATTTGCTCCAATCAACGCACATATGCAGAAAACCTACACATACCTTCAAACCTTCAAATTGTATACAGTAGTCTCCACTTAAGATCCCATCGCTTACGATCCCGGTTCGCTAAAGATCCCGCTGTTTTAAGAAAACAGAATTTTTACTTTACAAAAGTCACCCTTAAGATCCCACTCTGATTCACTCTGAAGGTCTACATTCGGTTAAGATCCCGCATTTCAGATAATAATTTACAGAACAAAAATGCGGGCAGGCACAGCTGATCAACCTAGAAAGAAAATTTGCTATCATTGAACTACCCATTGTGTCACAGATCAACCACTCTAGTAAATGTGATCACATGTGCGCAGTAAGTCACGATGAAACGGTACAATGTTTGCCCCGGACGGGATCACACCGAGGTGTGAAAACGCAGACGCGTTTGTTTTCTCCTAACATCGCACTTGCATCTGAGCTCTCCACCTAAACTTACATCACATACTGGGTGGGTATGGCCTACAAATTCGCTCCTGGCAGGATCACATTAAACTGTGAACTCTTCCCTGACCATAGCAGCAGTTGTCTCTACTCTCGAATTTGCAAAGCAGACTGAATCTTAATTGCTGTGTTCTACACTACGCCCTGGTGTGGTCACAATGTAATGGTGCGTAAGGACAAAGGCGGGAGAACTCGGTCAGAGATGGAAAGCTATAAAGGTAAAGGGGAGGGGAAACTTGATAAGCGTAGTCTTGAGACTCACAATAGGATCATCATCATTGCCTTTCTCACCCTGGATCAGGATGTAAGCCGCTAATACACACTTTCCACCTTTCCCTATCCCTAGTCACTTGATGTCACTCAATGTCTTCCCACTTTTCTGTACATCCATTTCCATGACTCTTCTCCAGGTTCCACACGGTCTTACCCTTGGATTCCAATCTAACACTTTCCTTGTTATGCAGCTGCTTGACTTCCTGAGACTATGTCCAATCCATCGCTAACGCCTTCTTCCCACCTCATCTCTGACTGGGCTCTGTCTCCTTCTTAATACTTCCTCGTTGGTGACCTTGTCTGTCCATCTGATCCTCAGTAACTTCCTTAAACACTTGTTCAAGAAAACCTAAATCCTCTTTATGCAAGTCTAAGACGCATTCCAAGTCTCAAATCCATACAATTTGAAACTTTGACTTGCTGTAATCTGAGTATATCAATATCCCGCGTCATGTGTGTGAACAGGAGAAGCAAATCTTCATGGAACAGGATGGAAATTTGAAATAATAATAGAGTACCAAAAAATGATTAATAATCTCAGAGCGCTGCCAGTAAAAAAAACCCACCCAGACAATGATCAGTAAAATATTCTAGGGAGGGCCACTTTGAACCTGGAGATAAGTCACTGAGAAAAATGTACAGAAAAGTGGAAAGACATGAAATAATGTCAAGAAGCTATTATACAAAATTGGAAAAAAACTGGAAAACGTTCGCTGTTGGTCTTTTCTGTGATCCAGACGGAGAAAGGAAATCAAATGATGATAATGAATTACCTCTCCTGATAAAAAGACAGCAGAAACGCACCTGTTTTCTTCCTTTTAGGGTCAACCCCACCAACAGCATCTGCTTTTCGTTTGACTGATGTGGCTTCCAAATGAGCAGGCTTGGCAGGTCCTTGTGTCTTTAGGGCAATAGCCCTCTGAAATGATGTGCAAATACCGTATCATTAATTAAGGCTCCTAGGAAATATCAAAGCAACAAGAAAACAGAAAACACATTTTCTCAAACAGCACAACATGACATCTTTTGCCGAAGGAAAGAAAAACAAATAATAGGGCTGAATACTTTATCACTTTGTAACATAAAACTTTTTTCTAACCTTAGACACATTAGCCTACCTTTTTAAAGTTCATTATTTTAAAAAAAATTATAGTAGAGGGTTTTACGGCGCTCGCTACTGCATAAGGTCATATGAGCGCCATGGGGTGGGTGTCAACAGAGAAGTCTTTACAGGGAATCAGACTTAGACTGTTAACCTGTCTAGCTTCAACAGCACAAGGTCTGCTTCGACTATCAAGGCACCCCAAAATAGCAGGTCACAAGAGAGTGACAAACAAACAAGAGAAGTAGAGGAAAATGACAATAGTAAGGATCAGGAAAGAAAAAGCAGCAGTTCCCTGTTGTAGATCAGGCACAGTTATGAGCGTGACATGACTCAGCCCATTTACATTTCTACTATGCTTGAAGGAGAAATGTCCCCCCTTTGGGAATGGCCTAAAGACACTTCAGTCAGTGGCACTGCCCCGGGGGTACTTTTTTTTTTAAAGTTTAAATCTTCACACAAGTAATTTTATTTTTAAAATGCATGCCACTATAACTGAAGTCACATTTTATGCAAAAACTAAAGAAACCAGCAACATGGTGATTTAAATGTAAAAAAGGATGAAGATTTTGTCACTGTGTGTTTTATGATGATAAAAGACAACAAAGAGATTGCACACACTAAATTAATTTACAACTACAATTAAAACCATAATCAACAAAGAAAGAAAAGGGAATACCTCTTTATGTTGTTTACTCTGAACGTGTGCAGCCCACAAGAGGTCATTCTTTATCACATTGTTGCAAAGGATACAAACAAGCTGGTTTAAAGTGTTGTACCTGGTAAAACAAACAATTGAAAAAAGGTCACAGATCATGGTTACGAGTTTCTTTAAGTAGAAGAATTTATTCATTTATCCCCACGCCGCTGTCCTGATACATAACCTGAATTCAGAAAACAAGGAAATAATCCTCTAAAAATACCATACATAATATATATATGTTTTTAAAAAAATCATAAGTAAAAAATATGTCTTTACAAAATTGAAAATGATCTGAAAACCCCCCCCAGCTGTGTTAGAAAAAAAATTACAGTGAGGCCCATTTATAACAATCTTGGAACCGGTAATAACAGGATTTCCGCCAGGCCTATAATAAATCCCCAAGCCAGATCTCTTATGGTTTATAATTTTTAAAAAGTTCTTTTATAGCACGTGTTCAGAGAAGTCATGTTTGGCTGTTACAGCGGTCTCACTTTTGACAAAATCCTAAAACAAATGAACAAGAAAGCAGAAATAAACATATGGATCAAAACAATATCCATGGATAATTGTATGTTACACAAGAGGCTTAAGTTGATTGTGTAGGTTATACACATTTTATTGTGTGTCATACTATGTATGCAGGAGAGGGGAAAGCAGGATGCACTTGGATACTTAAGATTTCTGAGACCTACCGATTGTGCTGTGTGCCTGCCAAACTGGGTAAATTTTTACTTTCACACCCGCACGCAAAAAAAATCAATTCCTCTTCCTTTGAAGAATTTCTCTCACTGAAACTCGTGAAGTTTGTTTGTTGTCAGTCTGAATGAGAAGGCCTAATATGAGCAGCTCGACTTAAAAAAGAATGAAGCAATAGCCCTTTTCCCACTGACAATACAAACAAGTAACAAGCTAAATACTGCAATACAAATACAAATACATGGACTTGATGCCAGGTCATTTCACCCACTCTTTGATATTCCACCACAATGGCTCGATATTTTGTGTGTGGAAGGTAGAATCTTTTCAGCCAGCAACACTTTCTGAACGATTTATCATGTGGTGTTTGTACCCTAACAGTTTCAGGCTGTGGGTATGCTTTCCACGAGTCACATATATCGTCAATCCCAGGTGAATATATGGGTCATTCCACCAGTACTGTTTACTAAAAGTAACATTCAAGTTCAAAATTTTAAGTCAAATTTTAATACTTTTCTATAGCAGGTCATAAAGAGAAATGTCTCATTGGCCACTCCTGAAAATTGTAGACCTCTTTGATAATTAGGTTTGACACAGTTACGCCTGAAAATTTGCTTTTCAAGTTGGTGAGGATTGTTACAAACACAAACATTGACAACAAAAACAAAATATTCAGACAAAATCAAATTGATTTGTTCTTCTGCTCATGTTTTATTTACCAGAAGACACAAAACCACTTGAAAGATATTGACTTAAGGACAACACTGTTCAAGAAAATTGCATAAAATGGTGAGGAACGTTACAGGAAAAATGTCAGAAAAATTGACAGTCACCATTATTAGTTTCTTCATCAAAGTACACATAGATGAAAGATAGTGTCATCACTTTATAAAAATATAAACATTGAGAGATCATAAGAAGACCCAAACATATTTCAAAATTGTAAATCATGAGGAAGGCAACACATTTTGGCTAAATGGTGAGGAATGTTACTGGACAAAATACGGCATACAATATTCCACTAGAACTTCTTTGTAGCAAACTTAAAGGCATTATTTCTTTACAACAAAGTAATTTGTGAAGCAAATGCATTTAATAGACACAGTATTTTTTTAAAGAATAAACTAGAACTGATGAAAAAGAGCTATTGAAAATCGAAAGTGAGGATTGTTACAATCAGGTCCGACAATAAACATACCGGTACTGGTCTCCACTGCCTTTCGAGATCTTAGATTTTACTGAGTGGAGAGTAGATGTGACAATATTCTTTCACATACAGACTAATGATGTCCAATGTTATTTTAGTTTTAGTTTTAGTAGAGGTTTTACGGCACTCGCAACTGCATAAGGTCATATGAGGGGTGAATGTCAACAGAGAAGTCCTTACAGGGAATCAGACTTACTCTGCTCACCTCTCTAGCTTTAGCAGCACAAAGTCTGCTTCGACTATCAAGGCACCCCGGCAATAGCGGGCCATAAGAGTGTGACAAACACACAAAAGAAGTTGAGGAAAATGGCGATAGTAAGGATTAGGAAAGAAAAGGCAGCAGTTCCCTGTTGTAGTTCAGGTACAGTTATGAGCATGACATTGTTAGATCAGCCCATTTACAATTCTACTGTGCACTAGAACGAGAAATGTCCGCCCTTTGGGAATGGCCTAAAGACACTTAGTCAGTGGCACCGCCCCGGGGGGTGTCCAATGGTATTTGACTACGGTCAAAGAAATAAAGTGCAGCAAATAGAGAGCTGAATTGTTACAGCTTCGAAGTCTGAAATTGAGTACTTGAGTCATTCTTAGCTGCTCTTAGACGTGAAGCTAGCCATAACTGAATGAAATGAAATTTAAAACGCCCTGTATAGTGAAAATATCACAAGACACACAGAAGAAATGCCAGGTACAGTATCTCGATAGGGGGACACAACGTAAACAATGTAAAATATATCAGACGACACGGGACACAGTCTTAATAATAGCAGATGACGAATAGCTTCAAGATCTATTAAATGTCATCGTACAAGAGAGTGACAATACAGTAAATGTTAACTCTGTGCGCGCTCATTCAAATTTGTAGCGGCCACGAGAAACTAATGCAGGAGGTTCAAGGGTGCGGCAAATGTCATAAATTGGTATGACTGAGGTGTCATCGGGCTCCGGCCAGATGTAGAGGCCAGATCCTACAGGCTTCATATACCTTACTTGCACCTCCCCAGGAAAGGTCTTCTCCACTTGCACAAAAAAAGAAAGGGTATAACAGGTCATGTCAAATGTGTCAATTTGAAAGCAGTGGATAAATGAATGTCTGTCGTGAGTTTAATGGGAAGAAAAACCTACATAATCCCAACTTTTGAATGCTTAGACTTTCATCAACCCCTTAGAGCAGTGCTACTAACTGAAGTATCTTTAAGCCATTCACAAAGGGGGGATATTAACACATTCTTATACACAGTAAAATTGTAAATGGGCTGATTTATCAATGACATGCTCATACTGTGCCAAAACAACACGGAGAAAATGCTGCTTTTCGTTTCCTAATCCTTACCATTGTCATTTTCTTCTACTTCTAGTGTATGTTTATCACTCTCTTGAGAACTGCTATTTCTGGGGTGCCTCGATAGTATAAGCAGACTATGTGCTGTTGAGGCTAGAGAGGTGAGAAGAGTGAACCTGATTCCCCGTTTGGCCTTCTCTGTTGACATCCACCACTTGGCGATCATATGACCTTACGCTGTTGCGAGCGCCGTAAAAACCTTACTAAAACTAAAAAGACTTTCATGTCACCCCATCCTGCCTGAGCCTTAGGTGCCGTAGGTTTGTTGATGAAGGCTAATGTCCAGATGTCAAAGTTTGGTATGAGAATTGTATGTCAACAATTTAATTTTGTTCAGGCAAGCATCAAATAGAAGTTACCCAGGTAATTTCTATGGCAAATACAACAAATGTTTTGTAAGAAATCCCAGACTTACAATGCCTTTAAATTGGCGACGGGTCCCACCAGTGGCGTACAGGAAGACCTCAACATACTGTCCCTCTTGGATACCTGTCTCCTCTTTCTTGTCAGCTTGATCTTCTTCTCCCTAGGTAAAATGTAAAACAAGGTAACAACAATGAGCCTACTGACACAAATGACAAAAAGCAGTCAAAACTAGACAAGTGTACTTTTACTCTAAATAAAAATAAACTAATGATGATAGGTCAACTAATTTGATTTAAAATCTCGAAACAAAATATAGTGAGTACTAATAATTTCAAAATAGCAGCTATACCATTATTATTACAACAGTGGAATCCTTATAATTTCACCTTTAATTAATCATTTGAATTACAAGATAGCAGTGTAATATTTTGGCACACTCTGTCGCTTGACTATGAACTTCTCTGTCAGGCAATAAAAAGCCAGACTTTGTTCCATTGATCGACAACTTTCATATCCTTGCAAAATAAAAATCAATATGGTCCACTGTCTAAAAGAATGTACAAGATCTTACCTCCAGCAAATTCTCCAGATATTCCATTCCAGAGGTTGACAATAAGCCAGAAATATTGGCATCACTGATGCTCTGAAACAAAAAGAAGAGAAACATAAGTTTTCAATGCCTCCACATTGTCTGCACTTGTCTGTGTCTAAGACATGGATTTTGCAGCAAACCGGAAAGTTACAATTATCTGCTCCTAAAAAAATAGTTCAAAACTTATTTCAAGAAGCAAGAAATGCAAAAATATAGAGGTGCTGGTTTGAACATCTGAAAAGCTGAAAAGTGTTCAAATGAATAGGCTTCAATTTTCTATTCTCCATCATTCATATCATACTATAGGCCTAATTGAAAACAACATAGGGGCAACTGCTGCTTTTTCTTTCCTCATCCTTACTATCGTCATTTTTCCTCTACTTCCTTAGTATGTTTGTCACTCTCTTGGGAACTGTTATTTCTGGGGTGCCTTGATAGTCGAAGCAGACTGTGTGCCGTTGAGGCTAGAGAGGTGAGCAAAGTAAGCCTGATTCCCTGTTTGGACTTATTCTTTGTTGACATCCACCCCTTGGCCCTCATATATGACCTTATGTAGATGTTAGTGCTGTAAAAACCTTACTAAAACAAAAATAAATCATGACTCAATGCCTTACCTCATCATGTTCCGTCTGCATAGAAGCAGCATTTTCATCCATTATCATCTCTGTTTCAACAGGTTTCTGAAACAGAAAATCCAAAATAAAGAAAAAAATACAGCAATGCTGCCTAATCCCAGTGCAAAAGCAAACTTTCAAAGTGCTTCTACATGCTCTTTACCCTTTACCTTCTATACACCAAAACAAAGCATTATAAATTTTCTCAACCTCCTGGGAAGCAATTTCACTCTGTGCAGTCAAGTAGGCTAACCAGACCCGTCCCTTTTATACCTTTTGAAAAAATACCCCTTCCAAGGGCATACAATTTGCTGCAGCGGAGTATCAAACTCAGTTCACCCATTCAGTGTACTTGTAAATTCTTAGAGACATTATTCTACAACTGAAAATCAATTTTACACTGTTGTGATCTGCACGTCACATAGCCTAACACTCTAAAGGCATTTATACTTACTTTGCAGTCAGTAACAGTCAGAAGATTTTGCATTTCTTTAAGTGGCGTCGCCACAGCTTCATCCTGTACGGTCTCCAGTGGAGTCTCAGCAGGTTCCTGAAATATCAAAAACAAACATTAAGCATCAGCACTGAAAAATTACTTCCACCACCAATACATTTATACGTTATATGTGCAAAGAGATCGACATATTTTTTTATGTAGAAAGACTATCACTATTAAAGAGGATACTAATAAAGAGGAGCCAATGTCTCTGGCAATGAAATACACAACAAAATTGATTTTTAAATCCATACACAATTTAGCGGATGCAAGTCATGTCAGTGTCAATGAATGTGCAGGTGTAAATTGGCATTATTTCTGATTGCTAAGATATATTCTTTGCATTTCAAGAAATGTTTGGAAAACTTTAAGATGAAAGTAAAGATGTGCACAAGAAATAGCCTAATGCTTAAAAGGGAAAAATTAATCCAATACCCAGTAGTTTACTTACTATGCTGTCAATGGTATCAAAATATGAATATGAGAAACTTGTAAAATGTTAAAATACTTAAGACAAAAGAAATGGTGACAGTTCGGTCCAAATGAACCATTTGGGTAGTATAATGAGATTCTGCTCTTACAGAGATGGGTGTCACCTTTCTCTTCTTCTGTAACATTAAGTAATTATACCAGGCCTGTAAGAATGCTATGCTCACCTTCTTTTTCTTTGTGAAGCTGTGACTCTTCCATTTGTCAACATAATCTCTGTTGAGACATGGAGATTCATGGCAGCACCCCTCGCAGGAACAGGACAGGTTGCGGTACTGAAGCACCTGTCCACCGTGGCTCACAATTGAGTGGACCAGTCTGGTGTTGGGTAATGGCTTGAGGTCCGGCAGGTTAAATCTTACAATATCCGAGGACTTTACGAAGATGAAGCTCCTCTTGAAATGCTGGCACCTTTCAGCAGAGTCCCTCTCCAAGTTCCCAACAGCAAACTGGTACAGCTGCCAGGCGTCTTGTATCACAACCCTCCTGCACTTTATGGCTCTCGTCACTGCTGACTTCACCACTGCAGACTCACCATCAGATGGGTTTTTCCCGTGACGCGAGCCAAAAAAATGGCGATGTACATTGGTGTTTTTACCCCTGCTTTGTAGCAGGTAAAATGGCGCTTTGCTTTTATACTGGGCCATGCACCCATCTGACCACTCGATGCTTTTATTGAAGGTGTAGCCTCTCTCCTGGAAAAATGAAAGGACTCTTTGCAGGATGATGTCTACTGCAAAGTAGTCATGCTTAAGATCATCAGAGACTGCAACGACTGAGTGTGTGACATAGTCGTTACAGTCCTGACACCTATGGTAACACACCACTGGATGCAGGGTGACTTGTTGGTAGTTCCAGTGGGCCGACTGAACTTCGTCTTGATATGATGTCCTAAAATTTTCGGCAAAATCATACACCATCATAACCTGTCCAGGTTGCAGCTCCCTTTTCATTTTGTTGAATTGGCAGTACTGCCACCTGGCAGTCAGAAGGTGAAGAGGGAAGGCCCTCAGCTCATTCATGAGCTTGGTCAGAAGCTCATTAACCCCCCACTCCTCAATCTCCAGAACTTTTCTAGTGACTACTCCGCTTTTCTCTGTGGACTTTCTGTTTCTCCACTCACGGCATTCAACAGATGTCCTTGCCGGGGAAGTGAGCAGGGCTTTCAGTTTCTCAGGTCCGCACTCGCCACATTTCATTGTTATGCAGTCATAAGGGTGGTACTCCCCTTTTTTACCACACAATACAGCATCCAACAGCGCTGACTTACTTGCTGGCATGTTTGGGTAAGCTGCCTTTAGTGCTGTGATTTTAAGGTCAATGTTAGCGCATGGCTCACAAAGGCACTGGTTCAATTGCAGTGACTGCGGCAGTTTGAGGCTCTTTGGCCTCAGCTTGTAAAATTGACTCTTCGACACGGTGATGTCAGGATGGCGCTTCTTGAAGAGAGTAAATAGGGTGGCCATATCGTCTTGCAGGAGCATTGTCGCCCCAGTCTTCGTTGCTCTTTTCTTATCTGCGAACGGTGCCGCATGCTCCTTGAGAAATTCGACGACAGTCTTTGCCTGCTTGCTTTCTAGGGATTTCCTCATAAAGACCGTTGAGAAGGAATGGCTTCTCTGGATACTGCGCAGACGTTGGCAAGACATTTGTAATAACTTGCGTCCAGCTGTCCTCGATTGACGGTCCATGGTAGAGAGGCGTTGGGCCAGTCCTCTCATCACCCGCTTGTCACAGCGGCTGACAAGTTTATGTACTCTTTCCTGAAGCACTGATTTCCGTAACATGAGCGTCAAATCCTTCAGGGTTTGTTGTCGCTGTGCAGGATCCCTCGGAAGAGCTTTCCGGACCCTGTACAAGGCCTGCTTCCTTGCGACCTCAGTTCTGTTTCCTCCCGTGTCTGGATCAACAACTTTTCTCTGATCATTCTGGTCTTCATCTGTCCTTTCCTTGTCTTTCTTCTTCTGCCTTCTCTCCTTTGCCTTATGGCTTTCTGCTTTCTTTTTCTGCCAACTCCACCCCTCTCTCTCTCTTTTTTTCCTCTCACTGTCCCTTTTTCTTTGAAGCTCCGCCTTTTGCTGCTCCTTTCTCGTTATCGGTTTTCTTTTCTTAGTGATAGCATCAGCGTCAGGGCACACACCCTCAGCAATAAGTCTTTCTTTCTCCGCTCTTTTCTTTTCTCGACATTTGGTTACTCTTGCCTTGGTTTTCTCTCGTTGAATCCTTTTCTCCTCCTCTGTGGCAGTTTCTTTCAGCTTCTCCCTTCGTTGCTTGTTTTCTTCTTTTTTCTTGGCAAGATAGGCTTTGTGACCATCTGGATCCTGCTCTTTTCTTTTATCATATCTCCTCTTTGACTTCTCTGCATCAGTGAGTGGAGGCTTTGAGAGTCTTGCAGGGGGCACAATAGGCTGCTGGAGTGGAACTGGCCTTGCTCTCAGTCGACCTAACAATGAGACAATTTGAAACAATCTTCACCTTCTAAGACGACCTAAGAGTTTCAACGTGACTGGGGAAAAAAAATGGGATCTACATACTCTTAGGTCTGATGACACACTACCCCCCCATTCTTTTTGCCTGAAATACCTTCTCCCCTTCACAAAAAAAACATAATTCAAAGTAGGCTAAGTTATGAATTGATCACTGGGCTGTAAAGTTTTAATGTATCTTGTAGACCAATCATTGAATAGTTTCCATATTATTCCATGTAACCTTTATTATGTGTCTCAGCCTTTTCATATTACAGGCCACAGTACCATTTTTTAGTTTGCCAGTCCTGATAACCTTTTCTTATCCTTTTTTTCTTCCCACTATCATACATGAACTTTCAACTAACTAATTTACTCATTACTTCACTAAAAACATCAATGGAGTGCAAAAGAAACACTCATGGTAAGGATGTAACAATGCCCAGATAGAGAATGACTGATGAAACAATCCTCACTGTTCACATAGCAGATATTGAAAAATCAATTTTTAAAATGGCATTTATCTGTAAATGATGATAAAAATTTATTCAGGATCTAGCTTTTCCAAAACACCTTTGCAGAAAAACCTGTCATTGTGAAAACCTAGCTAGTTTTCAAAACCTTGCGAGAGGAATGTTACATGGGGATGAACCTTGAGAATGTCCTTGAAACAGTCCCCATTACAGGCCTAACTGGTTGTCGTTCTAAAACCCACATTTCCTCCATTTAAATGGGACTAAAATGTTTTTTATCCTTTTCAAAAGTTTTATCACAATGTAGGCTTCAAAATCCACTTTGTATTATTCATTACAGTCCTAGGCAAAATTATGAGTGGAATGTTACATGGACAGGATTAAATTTATCGTCTGATGAAACAATCCTCACTCTTTTTGGTGATCCACAAAAAAGTACAAGTAAAATTTGCAAATTGTGACAAAAATAGGTGATTATGTTAATGCCCATCTAAATAATCAATAAAGACCAAAATCCCTTCACAAGATTTCATTTTGGTAGTTTCGGTGAGGAATGTTTCA